TTAGAATGCTTAAATGTCCAACTTTGAGCTCCTAAATACACGCAAATAAAACTTTCACATTAACATTATGTTTTAAGTAAATAAACATGCAAGATAATTTAACTGAAATCACAATCAAACTATTATAAAAGCGGAATTGTTTAGACATGACTCTGATTGTTTAACGAAAGTGAAGGCAACAGTAAATTTATTTGACAGACCTTAGGTTCGTTCATCTAAGAATTCATAACTTTCAAAAAATATTTCTTTTGGTTCCATGGTTGTACATGACAAGTAGTACAAGTTTAGTCCCACACCACGGTCACTGTTTTTTTTGAAGACTGAAGACTTAACCGAAATAAAAAATCCCTAATGGAAAAACCTGAGCGGTATTAACCAAAACCGAACACAAAGGCAGACGAAGTTGGAGAATACTGAACAGGAAAAAACCACCAGGGATTTTAGCCGAAGTTCTGCGCCCTGGGGACCCCTGTATAAACAATAACGTTTACATACCTTTGAAGCGATGCAAATAGCAAAAAAATAGAAAAAAACCGTCAACTTTTTTTAAAACACGCTTTCAAGTCCAAAAATTTTTTGGTCTTTTTGAAGATACACTGTAGTTTTGGAAGTAATTCGCCATTTTTACGTAACTGTATATATCGCCATTTTTACGTAAATGTATATATCGCCATTTTTAGGTAAATGTATATATCGCCAAATTAAACCGATCACCGAACTGGACAATTTCCTTCTTTACACGAGAAAATTGTGTATTTGATGGGAATTTCTTGTAACGTGTGTTTTTCTAATCTAATCTATAACCAAAACAGTCGCACCTAGCGCCACCTAAGCGTCCCTATTTTGCACCGTTAATTTAATTCAGTGCTTTTGCGCCCGGTGCCACTAAAGCTTAAAACTGGAGCAAGCGCTGACTGTATGACAAGGATTAGATTATAGTACTTCAAGATAGTTTGTACGGACAGACGAAATTTAATGTTCTTTGAAAATATCAATTTATTTTCAAGACAAAATTTTAACATCAACTAATTGAAGAAACACACGTTAAGTTTGGTTAACGAGGAAGTGGCGATAGTTTAACCAAACAATCCGCAGCGCTTCATTTAAATTATGTTTTAGTTTGACAATTATCACATAGTTCACTTTTATAGAAACGCAAATGGCGAACATGGAAACCTTCGTGTAACTTTTAAGTAAAATATGTGACAACGTCTACGGTTTGTCTTCATAGTAACCATTAGAAATAAACAAAACAATGCACTTTTAATAAAACCGTGTTTTCTTTCAGATTATTATGAAGGCATACCGCATACTTAGACCTGGTGTACTAATTTACTTTTGTGCTCTTTACGCTGTGGCTTGCAGCATTGAAATTCCCAGGAATAAAGTTTTCTTTAACAGAAAACAACATGTTCCATTTACACATTTACAGTAATTGCCACGCCGCCCCTAAACTGTAAATGTCTTAACAAATTAAATACTTTTTTAAGTATCTATTTGTCGATTTGATAATGAGTGACAAGATTGAAAGTTTTCTTCCAAACATTTGAAATTCACTCAATTCTCTTGATAGTGAGGTTCATCCTTGAAAGGTACAAACCCCACGTTCGTTACCTGAGCGTAGCAACTACCGGCCGCAACTACAGCGCATGCCTAAGCTATCTAAACTTCCTACCTGCGCATGACACCGGAATTCCGCCCTGAAAAGGAATGCCCCTTGAAGGAGGTAACCCATCATGCCCTTAACTTAACCTAACCTAGTGCATGTAGCACCTACGGGTGACCTCCAACCGAGGTGGGTTGAACTACTCATGCATTATAGGGGATCCAGGAGTGCCTTAATAGTCACTGTAGAAAGCCGTTCATGAAATTGGCCAACTACAAGACTGCATGCTTTTACCGTACTAGGGGAGAGATATTTTGTCTTTCCAGCAAAACCACCATCTTTCCTTTGTCTTCAATAGGTCTTGCTCGCTAGATCCAGTCTTCAAAGGTCTTCTTACAGATGCTATTTGCATCCTCTACGCTAAGGTACCATTTGTACCCACTAACCCCAAGTTGAAGTTGCCTTCCTTTGGCTGAACTTCACTTGCATTTCCGATTCTAAGCTATGGTCCTGTCTATCCTTCTGCGAGGCAACAGCCGCTGCGATCATGCGTAGCTCCTTAAATCAGTATATTCACACAGAGGTTTTTCGAAGGTAAATTATAAAGAACAAACACAATTGCATGTCAGTCACTGACTTAACACAGTTGATACAACTACATGATTACTAATATATAAATTTGTAATATAATTAAAGCAGCACCAAAAAACACAATTGGATTATTTCAACCGAAAGAACATTTTTATCACCTCTTAATCACGACTATTTTGAAAATGCAGATGTTAATTTCTTTAAATATATTTATTTCCATTCCTGCATTAAAAAATAGCCTCATGTGGAATATACTGAGCACCAGGATTTGTTGTGGCTACTGTCCAAAATATATTAGAGATTTGACCTGTTAGCAGGTCTAAGTAATTAAAAGGTATATTATTATTACACTCACGGTTTTCGACGAATCCTTGGCAGATTGACGACAGAATCTTTGGCAGTTCGATGACAGACTACAATTAATGACAAATCATTTGCCAACTATGAAGATGAAACGATCGGTTACTGAGCAAGGACAGCCACAAAAAAGCCCAAAATGATTTTTGAAAAATGAAAACATTGATGGTGAAACCATCGTATCCAATTCTCAGGCTACCTGACAAACATTCCCGCTTTAATGTCGACGACGGCAAGCACAGAAGCAAGATTGGCCATTTCTTGCAACTGTGCATGTCGTCTACGGCATTAAATCGGAAATATCGACAGCCAGTCGGAAAATTAGGATTTTAGGTTTTGTATTTTCAAGTCAAAGAAATTCCATGTTTTTATTACGAAAAATTTTGAATTAAATAATGTTGAAATTTGGGCGTTCGATAGTGGCGTGGTTTTATTCATCATTGCGATTGATTGACCAGTAGTGATCTTAGCAGGAAAATGTCCACGAAAATGTTTTAGAAAAGGTTATAATATGAATCCATGGAAACAGGCGTTGGGTTGATGGATGCGTTGCTCATCAATAGTGTTTGCATTCTTGGTAGAGATGGCCTTTAGGACAATAGACGTCACGTGTTTTTCAACTTCATCAAAGTATATTGTTCATTCTTATCATTGTTCAGAGGACTCATAAAGTATATTGTTCATTCTTGATCATTGTTCAGAGGACTCATGAAAGTATATTGTTCATTCTTGATCATTGTTCAGAGGACTCATGAAAGTATATTGTTCATTCTTGATCATTGTTCAGAGGACTCATGAAAGTATATTGTTCATTCTTGATCATTGTTCAGAGGACTCATGAAAGTATATTGTTCATTCTTATCATTGTTCAGAGGACTCATGAAAGTATATTGTTCATTCTTATCATTGTTCAGAGGACTCATGAAAGTATATTGTTCAGTCTTGATCATTGTTCAGAGGACTCATGAAAGTATATTGTTCATCCTTGATCATTGTTCAGAGGACTCATGAGAGTATATTGTCCATTCTTGATCATTGTTCAGAGGACTTCATCATTCTTGATCATTGTTCTAACTTGATCATTGCTCAGAGGATTTCATTAAAGGTTTCTACATAGGATAATTGAATCCAATTAATGTCAGTTCACACTATACTTTCATAAATAAAAAAACATTGATAACATACTTACATTGAACATTTTATTCACTAGTAATGTAGTTCAAGGGAAGAAGAATTTCAACCAAATTACAGAATTGTTTTTGGTTCTTATGCTTAGATGAGCGTCGAGGATATGGTCGACAACAGCCACAATTCTCTTCAATCGCTGTGAACAAGAACCATTTTCTTTAATTGTAGAGTCCACCATCATGGTAAATACACCAACGTTTGTTTGCTGTTTTTCAAACTCATTTGATTACTACATGTCGTTTAAGAGTGTTCATGTCTAAAATAAAGCATAGAAGAAACACAAGTTACTAAGACGAAAACTTTTTGGAAAGGCCACACCGCATTCTGCATAGCGTCCCAATTTAATTCAGACTCAGTGCAAAAGAACATGAAACAACACATTTACCTGAACATTTTTTTCAGAGCACTTCAGGAGATATTTCACCAAGGAATAATTTCGACTTCGGCTAACTATTCGTCGTGCATCTACCGACTTTCACGTTCAAATGGCACGTTCTTAGGGTTTGCCTTAAACTATAGCCTAAGTCTCACGAACGTGTTGGGTTCTGATTGGACAGTGATTAGGTGTGGCGTAAACGTGTTGTGTTCTGAGTGGTCATTTACTAGGTGTGTCGTCAATTGTACATTGTGCCTATCTCAAAAAACTGATGTCTTTGAAATCAGCCGCGATTTAGAATTTGCATGATTCATCACTTAGAAGTAATTAATCCCCATCGAGCGGTAAATGCAATTGAATACAATATAAACACAGATATAAATAAATACGTATTTGTCAGCTACAGAAATTAACAAACTCCAAACATTTAAGCCTCCTTGGTGAACAACTACAGCTGATCATGAAAATTCTAAATGTCGACTGATGTCAAAAAGATTTGATGAACGATCTAGATTGTTAATAGCTTCTCATTTTCTTATTGTAGTTATTAGCTAACATCAACATCTGATTTCTTTAATTAGCTTTCTACAGAGTGTACATAAAAACGAGTTTTGGCAATTGAACTATTGTAAAATTTTGAAGCCCAATCACTGTTCTAATCTCCAAAGGTGCAATACATTTCTAATGGGGAAAAGCTTTTGTGCTTGCATCTACAAAGCTAACAATATTTTATGCACCTGTAGGCTTAGCACAGTGACAGACATTAAAATTATACAAAGGTCTTCAATGGCAAATGACCAGCTCTTTTTGCACACATGAATTTAAAACTAAAAACTCAAAGGAATGAGTTGGATAGAAAAATATTATTACAATGCATTGTTTATGTTTTTATTCAACTATCAGCCTGTATTATATGTTGTCTCTTTCAAAGAATTTTGAATCTCCATGAGACAATAAATATTCATTGCAACTATTGTTCCGAATCTTTCCATATTCCCTTTTTTTTGTGTGATATAAATGAAAAAAGTTAAGCACCTCCAAGCATTGATTTCTAGGCCTTCTGACAAGATTTTGTCTACTAGGTCCCAGTCTTCACCACCCCAGCCATGTCTAAAGCGCTGCTATCCAATGCCACCAATTCTAAAAGGAGATAATACTCTAGTCTATAATAATGATATAAGTCTCTTTTTAGCGCAGAAGACTTATAGATTTTAAATGAAAAAATTATCTTCCATGATTGATCTCGTAAATTCATTATTTTGAGTATTCATGTAGTCTTTTTGCAAAACAACAAAATTACACATCATACATTAATAGTTTCCCTGTCAAATAGAGCACGGTTTTCCCTTCTGGTGGCTTAAATGCAAAGATTTTATTTTATTTTGATTATTTATAACTTACATTATACATACAAAGTACATACCTACCCCAGTCTGACTTGTTCATTGCTATAGGTCCATACCCATCGTGTTCCTAGCACCTATGGGATGATTCACAGTATAACCACTGTCCGGACGAATCAGGAGTGCATTAAATGTGGTGTTTTCCCTGAATACAAGATTCTAAAAAACAACAGAAATCAAGCATAAATGAAATACATTTCAAAGTTTTATCATTATATTACATTGTCTGCCATAGTTTAACTATATTTTAGATAAAGTAATGACAGTGTATGTTCTGTTTATTATTCTTATTATGCAAGATAACATACAAATCAACTTTTCATGTGGAGAAAACCTTTAAAAAATTACTACTGCATGAATAGGTAGCAACAGGTTTTTCATTTCGAAGTTATTAATTTCGTACAGCTTACTGTTAACATTTTGACAAGACTTCCTGTACTGTATAAACTATGTTCATCTAGAATTTTTAATGATATGTCGATTTATCAAAAGTTCCTAAACCAAGGTTTCAAACTTTGTCATCTCTATATACTGCACTTAGCGACACAGAGACCTATAAATTATGATAAAACAAGTTTTCGATCATCTTTTCTCGTCTTTTTTAAGTGAATAGAACATTGTTAGCATGGTAAATGTACTTTATGTTTTAACTGAGTCCTTGATAATTCTATGACGTAAAAATGCATGAACTGCATAGAGTTTTTGAAGTGAAAATGCGTGACAAAATTAAATAATGAACAAAGAAGAAGAACCCTAAGAAATTTGTCAATAAAAACCAAAAAAGTAAAGCCAAGAACAATCGATGATGATTTAAAAGTTTAAAATTTTTATTTAAGCAAGTTACGTTACTGACCTTAGCCGGAATATAGACTATAGTCTTTGGCGTGAAAAATCATGGACCATAGTCTTTGACATGAAAAATTATGGACTATAGTCTTTGGCGTGAAAAATCTTGGATTATAGTCTTTGACATGAAAAATCATGGACTATAGTCTTTGGCGTGAAAAATCATGGACTATAGCCTTTGACATGAAAAATCTTGGACTATAGCCTTTGGCGTGAAAAATCATGGACTATAGTCTTTGACATAAAAAATCTTGGACTATAGTCTTTGGCGTGAAAAATCATGGACTATAGTCTTTGACATGAAAAATTATGGACTATAGTCTTTGACATGAAAAATCATGGACTATAGTCTTTGACATGAAAAATCATGGACTATAGCCTTTGACATGAAAAATCATGGACTATAGCCTTTGACATGAAAAATTATGGACTATAGTCTTTGGCGTGAAAAATCTTGGACTAGCGGGCATGAGATTAATTCAAATGTCAGCTTTGTAGAAAGAAGCAACGTGATGGAAAGATATTGTCAGGTGAGGTCAGTTGCGCGGCTTTAATCTCTCCCCCCTGCTTTTCACAATAATATAACAATAATATATAATTGTTGACTTGCAATTCAGTCATGTTGGTGATATAAATTACAAGTATTTTTTATCTGTGTTATTGTTGTCAACAACGGACATGGGCGTGTAACGTTGTTTGATAAATCTCAAGAAAATGGTTGCAAGTCAAGAATAAGAGCCATTTTAGGAATTTTTGTCTCGCCATAAAACCTCACCACTGCCAGGGATATTTACAAAAGCAAAATTCGAACAATGACTCGACAAATAAAAAATATAATTAACATATTACTTCAAAGATATTTCATGACAGACGAAGTTGTCAAACACTCGTTCCATTATATTGATCAATGCCAGAGGAAAAAGTATAATCCTTGTAGTCCATACACAACGTTTTTTCAACATCCATATCTGTCCTCGAAAGATGCAAATTCGTTCCATTACTTATTTTTATATTGCTCATATTTTCTAAATTACATGTTATATCAGAACGTATTGATTGCGCTTTCAACCATTCTTCGGTTTCACCAAGAATAGACTGTGCTTGGTTTGTGAACGAATCCTTAGGTTTCCTAAAGAAAAAATGTAATTAGTATACACAAACATTGAAAAAGCCGAGGTGTTTTAAACGATTAATTAAATGCTGCAAATGATGACCAGTAGATAGATGAAGAAAATTTCTCTTATTATGTATATTAAATATTTCTGTTATTTTAACTCACTAGTGCACAAATTTTGTAAAAGCACTATACCTAAAATTTGCATGAGACAAAGATTTTCTGGCTCTTGCATCTTGGCATTTACATGATTTTAATGCTTCCTGCAATTCTTGGACTTGCCGACGATAACGGTCTTCTAGCTTTTGATAAGCGTTAGCAACCTTTTGCTGTTCTTCGTATTTCCTTATCCAGTTACGTCTCTCAAGTTCAAAATTCTTTTCAAGATCTTCTTTCTGCTTCGTCATTGTCTCCAATTGGTTCATACACGTTCGAAGTTTACATTTGTAATTATCTTTATCTAGAGAGTGAACATTAGAGGACACATCCAACTCTAAACATTTATGACTACTGTCATCTTCATTGGCTGTTTGTGTTTCAGTTAAATCCAGGGGAATCAAGTTAATTCGGGATAATCTTTCTTCGTACATCTCTCTTGTAGTTCTAGTTTTTCCAAGAATGTTGTCCTTTTCTTTCGCTTCATTCTGTAATGCGCTGTTCTCCTCAATCTGCTCAAACGTACTAGAGACATGGATAGCGGGCAAGCTACTAGACAGGGGAACAAGATGAGTTTGTTCAATCAATGCGGGTTTCTTGAATTTACCGAAACTGGGAGAATACTCCATGTTTGGAAGAACTTCTATAATCCTGTTATTTTCAAATGACGGTCTGCGTTCAACAGCCGATTTGTAACCGACATCAGGAACACAATCTGTTTTCAGTTTGCTGGAATTTTTAAGAGAAACTTCATTAACTAAAGAGGGGTGTCTTGAAACAATTTTTTCATCGCTGTTGGAAAAATCCTTTGGTAGAGGAGGACGTTCAGGTGGAACATCGGAATCACTACTCTCAATAAGTTTTACGTTATCGTCTTTTTCAAACGATTTATTTTTTTTGATATTTTTTACTGTTTCTGTTTTCTGACTATTCTTTTCATTTTTACTTCTTTTCTCGTCGACAAATTGTCTTCCGGTTTCACTAAGTAACTTTCGTTCCCAATCCATTTTTTCATCGTTCTCATCATTAAATAATCTCGCATCATGATTACACTGCGGTGACCACTCCACCCGTTGTATTTCATGTTCTTGATAGTCAAAGCCAACTAAACCAATAGCAGTATGACGTTTCCATCTTTGGTCTTCTTGTATGGGAGATTTCCTTCTCATTTCAACAGTACACCTTTTCCGCCTGGCACCTTTAGCTTTTACGTTTTCTAGAACTTCGTTACCATCGTTATTCTCAAGAAGATCCTTTGCTCCTTCTGAACGAAGCATTTTCCGAACTGTATTCTGTGAACTAGGTATGTTTCCAGTAAAGGTCACTTTAGCGACATTATTATGTTTGACGTAAGATTGCTTGGTTTCAGGTACAATCTTCACTTTTACCAAGCGTCCTTCGTGAGCTTTTTCTGGTTTTTTCAACAAGGCAGCGCTTTTTGCAACTTCAGCGATCTGAATTTCGTGAATTTTAATAAGCTGACGTAGTCCTAAAGGTTTTGAATCATCAAGTGGATTATTTTTCAATTGCCCTGGTGCACTCTCAGAAATTTCGCTATTGTTTATCCTGCCATTTGCCTCAATCCTGTTATCATTTAAACCTACATTACCCTCAACCATATGCCTATATCCACCGTTAACCTTGCCATTTGCCTCAATCCTGTTATCATTTAAGCCTACATTACTATCAACCATATGCCTATATCCACCGTTAACCTTGCCATTTGCCTCAATCCTGTTATCATTTAAGCCTACATTACTATCAACCATGTGCCTATATCCACCGTTAACCTTGCGATTTGCCTCAATCCTGTTATCATTTAAACCTACATTACTATCAACCATATGCCTGTATCCACCGTTAACCTTGCCATTTGCCTCAATCCTGTTATCATTTAATCCTACATTACTATCAACCATATGCCTGTATCCACCGTTAACCTTGCCATTTGCCTCAATCCTGTTATCATTTAATCCTATATTACTATCAACCATTAGCATATGTCCATTGTTAACTTTGCCATTAGCCTCATTTCTATTACTACTAAATTCTACGTTACTATCAACCATACACCTATATCCAGGATTAACGTTGGTGTTAGCATCATTCCTATTAGTAATAAATCCTTTGCTACTATCAACAATTTGACCATATTCACTGTTGCTCTTATCAAAAATATCATTTTTAGAATTTGTTGATTCAACCTTAGTTTTTTTATTCTGAAGAGATTTTTCTGCTTTATCTACTCTATCTGAATTTAATTCTTTGATTTTCCTAGAATCTAAAGTATTCTTTTCACCATTAACAACAATAGTGCGCTGGACCTCTGAACGAGAGGATTCATCACGGTTTGGAATACTTATACCAGAAGCTTCACGAACTCTATATTCACATTTCCTAACAGAAGCCTCACTCCAACTTTCTTCAAACCTTACTTTACTGATATTGTTGTATCTAATGCTATTATTTTTTTTGTCATACAACCGACTGTCAACCTTCTCATTTCGTGATGCTTTTGAATTCATAATTGTGAAATTCTTTCTTTCAGGTGATTTGCTATTGATTTCTTTAGATGGTAAAGGTAGTCTTGGTTGCAAAGTAGAATTGTACTTTTCTTCATTAATATGATAAGAGTTTACTACATACATTTCTTCTTCATTCTCACAAAAAACATCTTCATTTGATTGCATATCCATCTTTTCAGAGTTACCTAAAGCTGAACTGGCTGTGATTTGTTTGTCAAAGTTGGACTCAAATCTAAAAAAGGGACATGTTTGGTATAAAAATCACTTTTTGATCCAAGCTAAAATGTATTTATCAAAACCTACGTAGTTATCATTGCATACACTTATCAAATATACTGTTAATTAGATAAAATTAAAAATGACAAGAACTGTTTCCAAAAGTATAAAAAATATTTAGGTATTTTGAAATGCCTCATTTTGTAGCTGTTAAGTTTTAGTTGATAGTAAATAAGAAAATGATTTTTAGTTCAGTTAAGGTATATCATAAAAGGCTGTCTAGATTATTTCTAGGAAAGAGATGACAAACAATTTCAAACAATTTTTCGAAATTAATGTGACTGGGAAATAAATAACCTTTAAATCCTGTTGACAAAACATTGTTTCCATACTAAAATTATTATTTTCATAAATATTGCTTTTTAAAAAGCACTGGAACGCTTTACTTCCCATAGCATTTAGTTAAAATTATTTACCTCGTAACTGAGGGCATTGTTGTACCACCATTGACCAAATCATAAACAATATTTGTATCAATTTCATCTTCATTATACCAGCTACTTCTTTTTTCTTGCTTTAAATTCCTACTTCGCGATGTTTTTCTAGGCGAAATACTGCCTGAATCAGCATCTCCTCGTTTTGAACTGGGTTTTCTTCTTGTTTTACTTCTCGATCGTCGATATGCTGATCTTTCCAGTTGAGCAGCCAGTCTACTCGAAGCAGAACTATCTGGAGTTGATGAACGACTGTATCCATTGTGCACCATTTCCCGAGATCCATAAGATTCGTTTGTATCTGAAGACAACATATCTCTAGAAAACTGCAGTCATCACATAAAATTTCGCAATAAAAATGTATCAAACAGTTAGTATTTGAGACATAACTTTTCTTTCACAGTTTTTAACTCTTTCACGACCAGTTGACGGTGACTATCGATGTTTACCGAAGATGACTTGACACATTTCATAATGCTTAGGTTGTTATTCTCTTTTTCTAACCTAAATACTATCCGGTCATTTTCTCAAAAACATTTGAAACAAGTTCGAAAATTCTATGCTTTAAGAAAATACCACAGCGGTAATATGGAAAGTTTTTCAAATGAAACTCGATTGGTATGGGTTGACCTTGAGGTCAGTTATAATAATGCACTCATTGCATTGTACCAGTTTCTGTAAACTTGTTTTAAAAATCGATGCATTGGTTGCAGAAGTCCATTATCCGTGCAAATAAGACTATAGCTGAAACTTCATATAAAGTTGTGGACTGTATTTTGCAACATTCTAATTATTTGTGTTAAATAAGACATTGGTGATAAACTGATGGTTATCAACTAGTGCTAGTGACATTATTACAATCCTGTTGGACTTATTGTTTTCTTTGAACATTGTCTTATCGTTTTATCCTACTTTTTTTATTTGGACCATGTTGGACTATTTTAATTTTCTGTGAACATTACACTTTACAGATGTCAGGTGAGTCTGGACATAAGCACCAAACAATGTTACCACATACTTATGTAGACAAGTAAGATTATTTACGTTTTACTGGCATGCAGATTTATCCCAAGGGATGTTAAGCATTGTTGCTAGTGTTGTCTAAAAGCACTTAATCAAATCTGCCAGACAGAAAACCTAAACAATCTAACTCATTGATTGTTTGTGTATTTATATTATATGTAATAAGAATAGAATGTATAATGATATTTTATGTGAGGACAACAAAGACTTTGTGCAGTATTTAAATAAATTTTTTTTTATTTTCCTCCTTAATGTAAAAATATTTATCTCTTGAATAGGATTGGATGATTCAAAGGATCAAATTCTGGAAATTGCATGTTTAATTACAGATACTGATCTTAATCTTATAGCTGAGGTAAAAACATGATCCATTATAGAAATGAGCATTTCAATATCTAGAGAATTTTCATTTCTATTTGATAATTTAGGGACCAGATATCATAATTCATCAACCTGATTCAGTTCTTGATTCGATGAATGAGTGGTGTAAAAGTCATCATGGAGAGGTTATCATTTTTTGAATTGCTTGGGAAGAGCAGGAACACAGACAAAAATGTTTTTTATCAATGGATTTTTTAGTCAGGATTAACCCAGGCAGTAAAGGAGTCAACAACAAGTTTAAAACAAGCTGAAGACAGAATAATTGAATTCATCACAACCCATACAAAACCAAATAAATCACTTCTAGCTGGAAACTCAGTTCATGTGGATAAATTGTTCCTATCTAGATTTATGCCACAAGTTATTGAGCATCTTCATTATAGAATTGTTGATGTCAGCACAGTCAAAGAGCTTTGCAAGTATGATCTTTGTAAATAACGATATTACGAAAACCTACAACCTTGTGGCTCAAGACTACTCAGATCTAACTTTATTTAATGAGATTGTTGTCTTGTGTAGATATTGGTATCCAAAGGCATACCACAGAGTTCCGAATAAATCTCAAACTCACAGGTATTTTGTATTTATGCAATATGATATTGTCAAGTGGATGTTTATTTTATTTTCAAAATATAATCCTAGAGCTCTACAAGACATCAAGGAAAGTCTACAAGAATTAAAGTTCTACAAATCAACAATCTTTAAATGATGATCAATACTATTTTTTATTTTTGTACTTATGCTCTGGCTTCAATAATCAATATATTTGTGACAAGAATTATATCAATTTGTTTCAAAGGTTCATCAAAAAGTCTTGAATGTTTGGACATTAACGAGATGATGTAGCAACACAAACAATTCTACTTTGAACATTTGATTGATGTTTATTAAAAAGTCTTGAATGTTTGGACATTAACGAGATGATGTAGCAACACAAACAATTCTACTTCGAACATTTGATTGATGTTTATTAAAACAACGAAAACAAACGAGATGTTTGACAATTTTGTTTATTTCAAAATGAATACGAAACTACAGTTTACATCGATGATGATATTGCATCTGTAAATGTTGCCAACTTTATATCATTTGAAGAAAGACCATTACAAGAATGAGTTGAATAAGTGATGTGAACTTTATTGTACACGTTAAACCACTCTGGATGATGGTCCATTTTTTCAGCTTGCAGTGCAACACGTGTCATGAAACCAAATGCTCGATTAAAATTTTTGAACACAAACTGCTTTTCGATTCCATCTTTTTCGCTGCACATTTTCCACCCTTTTTCCAACAAAGGTTTCAAAGATTTTTCCCTTTCAGCTTCGTCAAGTTTACTTGGTCCTTTTGACTATTCAATTCAGTAACAAAATTAAATGATGTACATTGTTATGTTACTAATGCCTTTAATGGCAATTTTGTACGGACCTCGAGAATTAGTAGAAAATTAAATAAATTTAAACTAACCATTTTTGTAAGCTTTGCAGAGGTCGAGAAATATATTGCACTAGTTCGAATTGCTGCAAACCTTTGCGTATATCGATGAATCATGAGAAGGTTAAATAAAATATATTAGCCACTCATTAGTATTGACATTGGCAGGTGATCAGTTCACTGCCGGTGTCACCGTGATTTGTGGTCCCCCGTGAAACCTGTTTCCTCCTTGAAAAATGCAAGGGTTATGTACATTGTGTTCAATTTTTCACGGGGAACGAACACAAATCATTCTGAAAACGGAAGTATATCGATATCAGAATGAAGTTAAAATAAAGCGCCAGTTTTCGTTGGTTGGTTGCTTGATGAATTTGTAAAAATATTGTGTCACGGCTAATTTCTTTTTAAAACAATTTCGCATTCAACGTTAGATTTGGGCCCATGATGAAATTACTTAAGAGTCTAGTGAGTTTACAGAGTATACCAAAATTTCGTCACAAACTCCAACAACTCCAACAATTGCTCCAACAACCAACAAAGGAAGCCGCATCCGGAAAACGGTTTCCGAAAAAAAAAAGTAATTTAGTTTTTTATGGTTTGGTCTCATTTGGATTCGTTTGCTTCAGACTTTGTTGGCTTTTTGTCGCATAACATAACTCGCATTGGCGTCATCCTGCGATAATTAGGAGGGGACCATACCATATTATCTTTGATACCAGGCTGATTTCTTTTGAAAGTGAAATTGTCTTGAAAAAATTAGCCAGTCATAGTCAAATATATGAATATGGTCCCCCCAATTGACACAGGATTGACGCCGATGTTTTGTTGCCTTGCAGGTCAAACTTTGCAAAATTAGGGCTTTTGGGCAATGACAGAGTAAAGTAGACTTAGCACACTTATATATCAGGGGCTCGTCAAAATGTGACGGATGAGAACATGTGAGAATAACACATGCATGTTTTGAATTTTGATACCAGAGGTTGATGGTCTTGATGGTCAAAAAGATAGAATAGTAGAAAAGATGGCCGAGGTAGAATCGGCTTCAGAGAAAAATAAGGACGAGGATGATGATTTAGACGCTTTATTAGATAGTAAGTGTATTTGCAGATAATATTGTATCAAAAACTGAAAATTATACTTAAGCCATCCAATGAAAAATATCCGGCACAATGCACAAAGGCTTATCCATTTTCATATTTGCCGAAAAAGTCGTAGATGTAATAATTTTCAAACTATCCAATAAACAATATTTGCCCTTTTAGCAAGGAATGTCTCGTTGGTTTATGACTATGAAATTATATGAACCATGTGATAAGCATGTTGAGCTGCTTTGTGCACACAAGTTGAGCAATATTTTTTATCTGTGAGTTGCAGAGGTCAAACTTCAAAGATCGCGCTCATTCTAATTGTATATGTCAAATCTGGAAAAACTACTATTTACTGATAAGTTTTGTATTGTTTGAATTTTTTTTGCATTTGTCCTTGTTTAAGAATTTTTTTCCACATTTTTTGTGACAATGGCATGTTCTAAATTTATTTTTTAAACGCAATAGCAAATGTCATCTTATAGCAGATCACTTGCCTTGTTTACGTTTTGCTGACGGGCACATTTGGTCGAGTGCTTTTAGACAATCCTAGCAACAATGTTTAACCTCTATTGAATTAATCTGCCTGCCAGCAAAATATAAATATGGCAAATAATTTATACTAGGTGCATTGGAGGATTTTGAAAAGACTCCACCATCAAAGGAGACTGCCAAAAAAGAAAACAACTTGGATAACTGTGAAAAAACAACTGATCCATTGCTTGAAGAATGGGGTTTGAGTGAAAGTGACATTGAAACAGCGGCAGCAGAGTTTGAGAAGTCAATGAAGAGTATATTAGGGGATGATAATGAATTGCTGAGAGAATGGAATGAATTTGCTGGAAAAGCAACAAGCAGTCAAGGTAAATATACATGAATTATAAATGATATGAAGTATTTCATACCTTGCTAAATAGTTTGAAAACTATTTGTTCTGTACTGTTTGCAAACTTTGCATGAACCTAAGCAATCATCGAATTTTACAAAGTACATAAGGTTTTTACCACTTGTTTTGCAGCATTATTTTTATGTTTTAAAACTTGTTGGCATCTTCATGCATTACTTCCTTATGCTGTCCATAAGTTTGATTTAAAATTTGTTCTTACAGAATCTGAAGTCTATGAAAATGGATCCTTATCAGAAAATGCTGAAGCATTTGAAGCACACATATTAAAGACAATGAAGGGCATTGCTGAGAATGCTGAAAGCATTCCTGGAGTAAGTGAAACTTCTATGTATTTAACCACATATCAAAACTTTGCAAATACATATTTATGTGCAATGCCCTGACATGAAACCATTTCAATTGTTTTTTGTCACAGAACTTGTTAGATGATGAGGACAACTTTTTGAAGGCAATGGCCAACATGGGAGTAGATGGACATGGACCTGATTTCAATGCAGGAGTGTTTCCCATGATGCAAGGAATGATGATGAACCTTTTATCAAAAGATGTTCTTTATCCTGCTTTAAATGAATTGAAAACCAAGGTATATGATTCAAAATTGTGTGTTCAGAAATTTGTCACATTATATGCAATGAAAATAGAAAACTCTTGAAGTAAAGGAATTTTCAATTTCAACGATGCCACTTATTTCTCAATGCCAAAGACTGAAAAAAATATGACTGTATTCATATTATGGGTGTCAAGAAATGTACAATTTTGGGCCTAAGAAATTGCTTTTTGTTGACTTTTAAGTATCCTACATGGTTGAGAGAGAAAAAGGATTCATTATCAAGTGATGTTCATGAAAATTATTCAAAGCAATACGAGTTAGTTTGTGAAATATGTATGGAATATGAATCTGAAAAGGAGAAAGATACAGAAGACGTCAAGAAAAAGAGATTTGACCATCTAATGGTATTGATGCAAAAGGTATTTTATTTGCATTAATAGTTTTCTTCTTCAATTAAAACATGTTTCAAAATACGTAAATTTTGTCTCCTAATAGATGCAAAGATATGGTCAACCACCAGAAGAACTTGTCATGGTAAGTTTAATCATTTTCAAAAGTATTTCAGAAAATTTAGCAAATTAATTAGGACAGTTTCATTCATTGGAATGATGATAACCATAATAAGATTTATAATTATGTCTTCTTTAATAGCAACAAGGACAAGAAGCACTTTTTGGAGGAAATTCATCAGGAGATAAATGCCCAGTTATGTGACAGAGTTGAAGAAAATACGTAGTATCATTAATTAATGGGGAGTAATTGCTGACAAAGTCACTCAATTAGTTTCTTGATTGATTTGAACTAGATAGTCAAAATGAAATTACTTATGCGTGGCCATTTACATACAAGTACATAGTAAGTTACCCATATATGGTATGCCAAAATTAATGCAACTGTTAATGAACATAGTCAATGTTTTCTAAATAATCCTGTACATAATAAGACTTTGAAGGCCTTCTGCGTTTATATGTAATTATAGGTTGGTGACTTTTATGATAAAAACATATTTCATTACATTCATGTATGTACATATGTGTTTTAAAGTGGTTCCCTACAGTTTAGTTCCTACTTTTGATATCATATGATATTTTTAGCATGGAAAAAAAACTTTAAAATTAATTTTGGCAGCATACTGTAAGTATTGATAAAAATGTTAATATCCCTAAATCAAAGAGACATTTTTTTCATACATAAAGCATGACTTTCAGTCTCTATTGTAAAATATTCATAACAATCTTTATCTTTTGAAGGCATAGTTGTTAGGTTTGACAACATGAAAAAAATAACGTGCACAATGACAATTTTTTCATCAACATGGAACTTAAATATAGGGAATCACCTCAATATCACATTGTCATTTCATAAAACTTTGGCCACTTACCATTTTTTCTGGGGTGCATTTTTTGTTGAATAAAATTTGTGTCCAGAGAATTTCTAGAAGCTAAAACAGTAAATGGAATCTACACAGCTGAGGTGGAAGGCCATTGGCTCGACGAAAGCTCACTTGAGATTGACTCGGATCGAGATTGATTTGCTTGTGCTTCCATCATTCTACTTTCAATATCGCGTTGAAGTTCGTCACATTTTACACGCAACTAAAAATAAGATGTTTCAAATTCGTTAATGATCTTTGTCGATTATAACATGCACGGTCAACAACAATTAACCTGATGCGTCAGCTGAAATAGTTCTCGATTTCTTTGCTCTTCCGATTCCTAGGAAAAAATTCAATATTGAATAACAAATCTAAGCAAAGCAAAGATTTTTAATTTTCTGTACCTGCGGCTGCATTCTTGGATTCCATCTAATATAATACGATGTCCACAGCTCTAATCTACGAAGACTTGCCACAGGAAATAAGACCTGATTGACAAAAAACGTTGCTACATGGCTACACTACTATGCGTACATGCACGTATTTGAAAGATGATGATAAAATCAAAGCTTACGTGATTGTGCAGATACACTGCGAATAAAGGATTCAAATAGCTTTCTTTCTGCAAAAATCAAAATAATTTTATTATTTTCAATAGTTAACATATTCTACATAAAAATAAATGTCACACCAGTGTCATCTATTTCTTACTAGGGCAACATTGAATTATTTCGTCCCTTACTCTTCCTGTTTTTACAAAGGCAATCTCATAAATCAATGTAACGATTATACGTATTATTGCGCGAGTTGGGGTTTACAATTTGTGGCTATATTACTAGTTCCCGTTTCTGTTTTCACAACGAACTTTATGAATCAGGTGAAAAATATTTTGAGAATGACAGTTTCCTGTCTCAACAACAAATGTTTTAGTTAATCTCAGAAAATCTTATGTAACATGAATGGTAGCAAACATACCTCACTGTTGATGTATGACCATAATGATTCAGTTTTCCCTCGTACATCCTATAACCAAGAAACAATCGTAGTACTAATGTTGTAAAAAAGCTTGAAATTTACAATTTGTTTCACCTTGTCCACTCTCTGACTGTCAGAGTTAAACATGAACGTTCCAAACAAACAGCTTAAAAATAAAGAAAGGAATACAGTAAATAATAAACAGATACTTATTCTCAGAAAATATGCAGCAAAAATGCCAAAAGTGGAGTGAAAATTAAATTACACCAAGTATAGCACCTATGCAGATGATCAAGAATGGTAATGAGAAAATGTTCGTTGAATTCAAACGCGCATGGAAACTGAAAGATACAAGTTGAAACTTTTGAAAAATAAAGATAGTGATGTGCGAACATCAATAACACTTTTGTAATCTACATTTCCTTATCACAAACTATGTAAATACCTGTTTAGTAATTTGCCAAACACAGTCGATGAATTGTACAAAAACTGGCGATCTTTGATCATCAGAATAATTTTTATCACCATGACCACAGCGCTAGACAAAAAGCTGAATGTTTACTAAACTGTCAAAATATAAAGACCGGCTAGCAAATTGATGCAGCCGTAAAATCGAGTTTTTCTTGGGTTGCTCACTGCAATGTGATGATGGATTACCTGGGAAAATTTATGACCAAAACTAAGCCATTCTTTCTCAATCAATACCTGTATGCGATAAACATTATTTTCAAAATGATCTTAAAAAACGTAACTGACGGGCAAATCAAATGTATAATTTGGAAAAATGGATATAACAGTACAGAAGTAAGAAAGTATTTTAAATTAGATAATCGCTGACCTGCATTTACAGCTAGTAACTATTAATAATATTCAGCAAAACTAATACCCATTAACTCATATATACCTCAAATCCAACAATGGTTCGATAGTAAGGGTCCAGAAGCAACATAGAAAGAGCCGTAAGCTATAAATAAAACGTTAAGAAAAAGGAAACACTCTTAAGTACTTCGTTGCTTTTGCATTACGTAAATCATTTGAAAATATGTACTTGTGCTGTTCTGTCCCAGCCATCACTACAATGAACAACAACTGAAGTACGACATCTATCGACCAGATCAGCAATGCGTACAGCACCAGCCAAAATTAACTAGATAAATAAAGGTTTTCATACTTATGTACCAGAATGAACACAGTAATGCTCACGACAATAAGAGTAAATGCAAAAAATGAGAATAAGAGCGGTTAACGGAGTGGTTATTTGTTGTTCATGCACAGAATGGTTATATGTTGTTCATGCACAGAGTGGTTATATGTTGTTCATGCACAGAATGGTTATATGTTGTTCATGCACAGAGTGGTTATATGTTGTTCATGCACAGAATGGTTATATGTTGTTCATGCACAGAATGGTTATATGTTGTTCATGCACAGAGTGGTTATATGTTGTTCATGCACAGAGTGGTTATATGTTGTTCATGCACAGAGTGGTTATATGTTGTTCATGCACAGAATGGTTATATGTTGTTCATGCACAGAGTGGTTATATGTTGTTCATGCACAGAATGGTTATATGTTGTTCATGCACAGAATGGTTATATGTTGTTCATGCACAGAGTGGTTATATGTTGTTCATGCACAGAGTGGTTATATGTTGTTCATGCACAGAGTGGTTATATGTTGTTCATGCACAGAATGGTTATATGTTGTTCATGTACGGAGTGGTTATATGTTGTTCGTGCACAGAGTGGTTATATGTTGTCTACTTAGAGTGGCAGGAGCCAAAATCTCCTACCGAAATATTAACATGCGACACCGTAGTGCTAAACTGCCTAGGGTTATCGGAGAGCCGGGAACCGACGGAGTTTTTAATATTCAAATCAAAGAACAAGTGGAAGGAGGATAAACGCGATTTTACAAATGAAAAGATGTACATGTCTGAAGGAAGCAAAGCACTCCGTTGGCAGATGGGTGTTACGTAAGCATGAAAAACAAATTCTCGGATCTATCGAAAATGTCTTACCCCGACCTTGGAAAAGTTAATGCACTCTCAACTTTAGTTCTCATACTAGTCGCGCTTCACATACTGAACAATATTTCAAATTTGCCTAGCAACAAAATGGGCTAACCTTAACATGTTGCAAATAGTTACTCGCTTCAAGGTTTGCGAGCCAGTGAACATCATCAATGGATGGAAAACAGATATCTTTAAGCTTGCGCAAACTAATAAAAAGAATAGAAAATAATGTACGACCTTCGACCTTCAACTGGGGTTATTTAAAACAGTGGTGTAAATTGGGCCAAATATTTAATGCTGTGCATTCCATACTCTTTGACAAGCATGCAGTTGATTTATTTAAAAAATTCCTTTTACACAAAGCCAGTAAGCTTTTTTTCTTTGCTCAGTAAAGAGAAACATTTGAATAGAAATATTTTATCTCATGATTCTTGTATTTTTGATATTTGTTCAATTTGCTACATTTTTCAAGACATGAAAAAAATTGTGCTGCTGCGACGCTTCCAAAATAGTAAAATTTACAAACACTGTAATTTTTGTTACAACACAAATCTCTTTGAAATCTACTATGAACGGTTTAGTTTTACGAGGACTAGTATTTTTGTCAGAGGATAATTGTTGACTTTGAGGTTTACACAGGGTAATTTAGGACATTCGTGGATGAACCACACCTCTTTTGTACCTTTTTCTTCAAAGCTCTGCTATGTAGCACTGCTTCGAAGCGGAGGCCGTTACTATACAATTTCGGCGGAGTCAGATATCTAGTAGATTGGGTTCTAGTTCATTGATTATTCACAAACCTTTCTCTCATTACATGAATATTTGCAATATCTAGGAAAATTAACTCAATATTTGGATAGAATTCTTCGTTTTCATAACCGCCACCCTTCGCCTAAAGAAAAAGTTAAGTTTTCTAAGGACAAGGAAAGTGGCAAACAAAATTATGTAGAAAAACAAAATACAGACGAAATTATGTAATACCTGATTAGCTACAGCATTAATTTTTGGTCTGGCATCAAGAATATAGAGCTTATGACATTGTGGATTGGCTTCCAGGATGCTCTGTAGAAAATGATATTGAAGTAGGTAGGTAGTGATTTCTAAGGATTTTGAAATGTTCATTCTTTACCTGGAAATATTTTTCATCGTCTTTATTCCTAGCTCCCCGTACTCCACATGATGGTTGACTACAGCGTGTGATTGAAGCATTATTGACAGGATGCAACCAAGATAAAACCTACAATACGTAGAAAAATGTTTAGCCGTGACATATGACATCATGACAAATTTCAGATACGTTTTAAACAAGATACGGTAATTTATGCAGTATTATTGAAGGTCTGTAATTTATGCAGTATTATTGAAGGTCGGTGATTTTTGCAGTACTATTTAGGAAAATGTCGAACCGTTCAAACATTGTGTATAGTTCATACATTCTCTAAGATAGACAGTGAATGAAAACCTAGCTCAACTATAGATATTAAAAACATGCTACGTAGCTTTATGGTAACTAACATATTTTCTCTGAAACTAAATCCACAAACATCAATTCCCATAAAGACATTAAAATAATTGAGAAAAATACATGTTAACGCAAGTGAAAGAATTTGATAAAACATTTTAATATAAATTTTAATAAAAAACATTGATAAATCTTACTGGAATTCTTCCTCTGCTCCTGAATGTCGCAACCTGCTTTAAATCATCGTCTTTAACGTATGTTGGAACACCTAGCTAAAGATGATTAATCAAATGTGAGCTCAAATGTGAATTCTGAAGCACTGTTTAATTTGCTGAAATTGCAATTACACTACAGGACTCTGCTTTCTCTTTACAAAATTTTGTCTCTGGATCGACGACACATGTTAAAATTGTCTAGCGTAAAGCTCTAACATTACATGAGCACAAACAGATATTTAAAAACACATTACATCACAAAATAGAACACAAAGCAGTCACCTTTTTGACGGCTTGTAATTGTTAAAGAATGCAATCATTGTTTTTTATAAAGGTCATGCACTTACCAATGGTGGATATGTATCGCAAAGTCTGTAGTCTTCGTTAACTTTTGATATTCTCCAACAATCAGTTGGCAAGCCCTTAAAACATAAAATGAAAACAATTTAATTGATTAATAAAACAAATTTTCAAAGTGCCCATTGCCTTTTTATGCACAACACTCTAATTTATTGGTGACAAATTTTACTTTTGATGCATCAAGGAGTTAGAGGAAATTTGGCTACAGAAAACCTTTTTCTAGTAAAAGAAGTTCAGCTCAATGATGCAGTCACAAAATAGCTAAAGTCCTTAATCTGACAAACAAAATCCACAAGCTTTAACAACTCCTTTCTTATATCATGAGATTAATATGATGTTATGAGCTTAATAGGTGTAGTACTTGAAAGAAAACTGACTCTTAAGCAACAATACGTTGCAATTTCATGAGGGCCAAGGGGTATAGAAAAACATGTCACAACACAAGATAACTAAGCTTTGACAAAACATAATTTTCTTTTAAAATTACTTGACGTTTCAGATCTCCCACTGCACTGTAGACATCCCATCCATTTTCCTGGAATTTTTCTTTAAGTTTAAAACAGAAAAACTCCTGAAAGGTAAAAGAAACTATTTTAATATCTATTGTTTTTATGTGCATAAACATATTGCAAAAATCTCAAGGATTACCTTAAAATTTGATGAAGGAAAAGCCATTTCCTATACGACAATTAAAATGAATTTTTAACTACTTCACACAACATGATTAACCAAGGTTAGTTTATGCTTTGAAGAAATATGTTTGCGTGAACAATTACATGCAATTATTTCAGCATGTTTATCAAATTTAGAAATCATCTATGATAAAAAGACGACACAAGCTGTATCATAAAAGATGAAGACTTAGTTACCAGATGAAAACCCCCTCTTCCATAATGTACAAGGACATTTGTGTACTCTTACCAGAAGTTTTTCATGAACAATTCTTCGAGAATGATTTTCTTGTTTATAAGCAAATCTTAGATTTCTCATGTCCTATAACAATATACAAGTCATTAAATAACTTTAATGTTACCTGTATTCTATCAGATTTTGTTTTTACAACAACAGTATGTAAGTACCTTGCAAAATATTTCCAAACCATAAGCATTTTCTCCACGACTTGTTGAGCCACCAACTTTTTCCACACGTGCTATTGTTCCAAGAGGACATTCAACTGAATATTTAACTGAGGCCTTGATTTGACAAAAAATAAAAGTGTACGAAGATTTTGGTTTAAACTGGAAAATTAAAGCAACAAAATAATATGTTGCTTTTACATCAGAACATGGTGCATGCATGCAAGTATAACAATAAATCAATATGTAGCTAATGAATACTTGTGGTAGTATTCAACATTATCTCAATTTCAACATATGTACATTACTATTAAACATTTAATTAGTTTAAAAATAACTTTAAAATAATATAGAAATATTACAAGAATTCATTATGTATTTGAAAATATTCTAAATTTATTTCAAGTGAAAAGTAAATTGTTTAGTCAAGCCATAATACTATAATAAGATTGTTTTCAAAACCATTTTTGTTAGAGTTATATGATCAAATTTATTTTACATCGAAAGAAACATAAAAGCTTCAATTTCATAACAATTACCTCATCAGCTTTAAATACCAATTTATAGTTGGTTACATAACTCACGCCACGAACAGGACCACTAAATGGACAAAGATAGGTCACATCTTTTCCTAAAATATTAATCATAAAAAATTATTATTCAATCAAGACCAAGTACACAAAGACTTAAAAGTAATGTTCTTTTAAGCATACGTATTACCAAATATTACCTGTTGCTAAAACCTTTTCTCCTTTCCACAAATGAACATCAGGAATTGTCTAAAGAATGATTCAGAAAAATTAATTATTTTTCCATGAAAAATTGCAGAAGTAATTATTGCAAGTGAAACAGTTTTAAATACATGTAAATCAAGCTGTGCACCAGAGTACTGGAGGCAGAAGTTATGTAGGCCGAAGCTCTGGCTATTTTTGCCTGCTGGAGCCATAGTCAGAGTTTGTTCACCTTCGGAGTTTGCTCATCTCTGGCAAAACTCTGGCAGCAGTTGTTTGTGCTGCAAAAAACTGTCAGACTTTGGTAAACATATCCGATAAAAACATTTTAGTATCAACAAACCATAATTATCGGCACATAATGATAGAAAAGCACAAATAATACAATAAAAATTATCACAATGATTCAAATTAGACAGTTAATAAAATACTACAATAAAAAAATCATAAAAAAGTGCAATTTGAATGACACTTTGTGTTGCTCTTCAACATAACGCTAACAAAATGGTAAATTTATTTAACCAATTTTTGCACTTGTTCAATTTAAGGATTTTATAGAATTAAACAGAATTTGTTTGCCGTTTATTTTCGTAAACTTGACCACATTTATTGTAGTCCCCACAAAATGTCTACTGTTTTAAACTGCATTCAGTTAAAATGCTTAGGAATGAATCAAATAAAATATCGTTTGTATCAAGTAATGTGTCGTAATCACATGTAGAGAAAAACGATAACCTTCAATCAAGCTACCTTTGTGTCTTGTGTCTCTGCTTCATTTCCACCGTTTACTGAAATGCTAGGCGGACTGTCTGTACTGGGGGATTTTCCTTCAGATACTTCATTTTCATTTTCCATTAGAGCTTACAATAAAACTTTCTTAATCCTTTGCTAGGACAAACTTTGAAAAAATGTGAAAAATTAGTACATTTTTAACAAAAGGGAAAGGTTATGAAGAAGAATTGAATGCCATCTGGTACAGTTGAACAAATAATAGCTACAATATAACAATTCTTAACTTTACACAGGAAAACAGGAAACGTATCACATATTATTATAAGTTGTTTTTTCAAATGCCTGTACTTGAATTTGTAAATGTATGATAATGAAGATAACTGCAGGAATACATTCAAAACAAAATTTCTGAGAAGAAAAGATAAAAATAAAACTTACCAAAATAAACCCATTCACTTACGAATAGTATATATTTTGACTTGTTTGACAATATTAGATTAATTCTCTTAGCGCCCGCAGATAAGGTGTACATAGTGTGTGTACTTCATGTTAACAGACGTTTTAAACAATTTGCGAACGGAATGACCTAAAGAGCTTCATCTAACTCCAGGACCAGGAGCATCATCTTTCTCGAGTTCAATTTTACAATAAAATCTATTTTTCTTGTATAGCAGAATTTAATAAATTTATCAATCTTCAATATTTAATAACTTATGAAATAACTTATTTAATTTTACAAAATCAATAAGCCCCGACGCTAGTCGAGACTCGAGAAGGAAGAAATCCTCCAGTACTCACTGATTCCTGTTTTAAAGACAAAAAACTTCGAAAAAACTTCCAATAAACATTAAGAAAAAAAAACTACCAGACATCACATTTGTCTTTAGGGTTCATTGTACTTCCAACTGGGCAGTTAAAGGCCTCTGAGAACTCTTTCATATTCGCGAGAGTGCCAAGAACTCTGATGAAAAGATAAATGTACTTATTGTACTTGTTATTCATGTTGAAGTAGATAAATAATAATTTTCCTATGAAAAAGTCTACCCACTATGAGAATACTCTACCCACCATGAGAATACTCTACCAACCATGAGAATACTCTACCCACCATGAGAAAACTCAACTCACCAAGAGAAAACTCCACCCACCATGAGAATACTCTACCCACCATGAGAATACTCTACCCACCATGAGAATACTCTACCCACCATGAGAATACTCCACCCACCATGAGAATACTCCACCCACCATGAGAATACTCCACCCACCATGAGAATACTCCACCCACCATGAGAATACTCCACCCACCATGAGAATACTCCACCCACCATGAGGATACTCTACCCACCATGAGAATACTCCACCCACCATGAGAAAACTCCACCCACCATGAGAATACTCCACCCACCAAGAGAATACTCCACCCACCATGAGAATACTCTACCCACCATGACTACTCTACTCACCGAAATTTTGTTGGTGCATGAACATCTTCTGTAACTGATAAAAACTCCGAGGTGATGCTAGTTTTGGTGCATTCTTTCTAAATCGTGATAATGTAACAAATCTCACATGTGTAAGTTGAAATCACAAAAATTTTCCTTAAGATGACCATACCTGAGCATAACCAATGAAAAACAACTGCTGACTAGTCTTTTGTAAGTTGGGCAAGATTTCCTCCTCTCCATGTTCTTTGATCCAGTCGACATAAGCCTATCGCAAAACAGGAATTATTCACTTCGTATAAGCCAAAAAACAAATTCCGCGTAAGACATTACATCTTACGTCACACAACAATAAATTACCAGATTGGCTGACTAGGCTACATTAGAAAAAAGTGAATTGGTTGAATACTAACACGATATGCCATTTTTATACCACCACCATCCGCCATGTTTTCACCAAGAGTCTCTCTTCCATCAACCTAACAGTGGTTTAAAAAACAGTAAATAAATGCAATACACTCAGCTTACTTTACATATTTATTCGTTTACAGCTTCATTGTAAAACTCTATCTACTTTTTTCACACTGCTGTGCATTAAGGTGTGCTTAGTCTTTTGAGCTCTCGTCCGCACGAGCCATGCAACTTACATAGAATTTATTCAAAACTTTGTACTTTCCAAATTGCTTCACCAAGCATTCAGCTTTTTCTTTGAAATGCCTGATTGATATTTGACTCCAGCCAGTTCCATTTTCAATTAACTCACCCTGATTATCAAATTTGCGTCCTGCACAGAGTTATAGACAATTATATGAAATGTTATCAATGGCAAAATAAATTTCTGCAGTTCAATCTAGGATATACTTAAATTTCTTAGACCACTTGGTTGGTAAAATTTTATTGTTTAGAATATTATAGTTAATAGTTTTAAATTTAAGGTATTTTTAATTTGAAATTGATCACCCACATATTTTGACGTACGCTAGATCGGTCACAGAATGCTGTAGTTTAACCAACGTGAATTACGTGACAAGAAATGTATTCAGATAATATGATGGAGAACAATAATATTTTAGCATTAGGATTTAGGAATTGATATAGATTACCTGTATCGTCAAATCCATGAGTCAACTCATGACCCAAAACATGCCCGATTGCTCCGTAACTGATTGATCTTAAAATATAAACAAGACATTTGTTAAATATAAGTCGAAAAAAGATAAAAGATTCGAAAAATGTGTGTGTTCAAATACCTGGGAATAACGTCAGAATAAAAAAAAGGTGGTTGAAGAATTCCAGCAGGAATAACTATAAATAATAAAATATAAAATAACATACATTGAAACAAACATCAAGCGACGTCAACGACTCAAATCAAACATTAATTTTTACGACCATGCATAAACAATGTTAAAATTGCAAAATATCTGACATTGATATCGCAGAATTTTTCATTGACACGATTAACTATTTGAATTATTCGTTACTTTTTGTTTTGAATTATTTTCCCGGGAGTCTTACCAACTTCATTTTTGTTATGACGTAAAAGCATTCACCAAATGTGGAACAGTTATCCACCTAAAATTGAAGCACATAGAAATGTGTAAGCAGAATTTAACTGATAAGAAAAATATGAAACTAACTTGTTTTTCTCTGTTATGTCCAAGCTTGGAAAATGTTTGCATCAAAGAAAATCTGTCTGTGTTCACAATGTTCTCAAACCAATGGTTCTCAGATATTTTTAACTAAAAAAGATTTTCGTACAATGCAACTGGAATCAATATAAAATAGACAAAAATCAGCGCATTGTCTATAAAATGTAACTGTTAATTCGTCAGCAGCTACTATTTACACGTTTGATAATAAAGAAAAAAGAAATAATGTTATGTTCCAATTATATGTCTAAAATATTTGGAAGAACTTACATCCTTATATCTTGATGCAAATTCTTTCTCATCCCAAAGATAATGAGGGTATCCTACTTTAATTGTTGCTGCATTCACCTAAAGAAAGCAAGTAAACATATTTTTGTGGTGAGACAATACATAACACATTATCTCGCCAAACTCAATATGTCCAAAAAGAGGCAATAAATAACAATTATATTTATATAACTTTGCGTGTGTCGACTTATGGTCCTATGGCCAAGATAAATAAGGAATAATAAGAATGAGAGAGATAAAGTTAATAATTTATGGAAAGGTTGAAACCCACTGTTGTATTTATATAAACATAATCATCGCCATCCAAACGACGGCGTTCAAATGCAATTAAGCAAATTTCACATTCTATGCACAAATTACAATGAAACATATGAAAAGTCGTCACACCTTCTCTCGGACAGCCTTTTCACTTTTTTTGCTTAACCAATGTTCTTCTCTTGCATTTTCTTTGAATGCTTGAATAATTTTTGACATCATATCTTCAACCTATGAAAAACACAATAGCAACAGTAAGAAGATTTACAAAATATTTAAATACATTTTATCATAAACCAAACCTTTGCTTTACTTTCTGCACTGAAAGCTTTTCGTACAAATAAAGATCCTAATATTGGTCCAAGTATCTTGTCAGTGTAACTAAAGCAAATCTTTCGACGAGATTTTTCAGCTGTTGGTCCTTGAATTTTCTCTTTGAATTTATAATACGTCTTTCTAAATCGGTGGTCTAGGAGAGGCACTACCTCTTTTAATGTCCTCCAAACCATGTAGTTGGACAGTATGCTGTAATCATTTGCGACGTATCGGAACACTGATCATGTATGAACAAGTTAGAAATAAATTGAAGAGTACATAAAATAAATACCTCTTCTTGGTTTTCTTAATAAGCTCAACCATTTTTGGGATGTAGCTATTTGCCAGAACTACCACTGGTTCACTCTTATTTATTTCCTTATTCACAAAAAGAGATTGAAGATGGCCATGCCAGTCTATCTACGCCATATACAAAAATAAAAATGGTTCAGTTTACAAAGCTAACATGAGTTTTTTTCATTTTGTGACTCACCCCAGGAACAGCCTTCTCAAGTTTCCCAAGTGAAACCTTTACATATCGTTTAGCAGACTTTGGAATTAGGATCTGAAAACTCAACGATTAATTAATCAACAGGTAATAAAGAAGGTAGCGCTATACTTCAACCGAGTACTTAGGTCAGTAGCACGAAACCTGTATATAGCAATGGTATATAGCTGTACAAGTACAGTTGGGCTGTTGAAAGCCAAGTTTCATTTCTTCATGAACATGCAACTTTTTTTTCTTTCGCGCAGTGCGGTGTCAATACTTGATCATGAACTAAACGAGTTAGACATACAATATAATAGTAAGCCAATAATCCACACCTTGGCCAATTCAGCTTCAAATTTTATTACATTTTTCATATTTTTAGCAGATTTCCTAGTTCCCACTCCAACTAGATGGCCTATTTCAGTCATGTACCTCCACAAAAGACGAATATCCTGTAAAAAGTAATGTTCTGCTGCAGAGCATGATGAACTGAAACTGATATGAAAACTATAAATTGTTGATGGGTCACAATGATGATCATAAAACTCATGTATAAAGTAAACTAAGGTAAACTGTATGGCTGCATCGACATCAACATCAAATAACTAAAGCTACAATTTAAAACATAGCTACGAAAATTCAAAAGCGGAACTTATGAGAGACGTGTGAAAAAACAAGCATCATGCTGTAAGGTAAGTTTTAATTTTGTATAATTGTAGAAACTATTACGCAAAGATAAAAGTTGTTATCTTATTTCTATCAATATTCTGGAGGTAAGAGATTCATCCTCACATCGTGAAAGTTGATCGAAATAAGATTACGTATTTTCGTTAAAAATGAATGCACACGTCATATTTTTAAAGAAATCAGCACGGAGACTAATTTTCTCCGCACTCTTCAGAAAATATGCCTCTACAAAAGGTGGAGTGATTTGTATAAACTCACTATAGCACTTGTGAAATAAATAATTTGAGGTAAATCCAACGACGCTTGATCAATCTATGAAAGATAACTATACGTAAATATCATCAAACACAGGTAAAACTAAATGACGTATACAAATACAAATTTTCATTCTTAAACTTACTAGAATTACATTTTTCCTCGTCTTTTCACGTTTGACCGGATTTGGAATTACATCGACGACAAAGAATATCTCAGCTGGCGAAATTTTGTGTAAGAGCTTCAACGTATCATAGAAATCCCATTTTCGGATTCCATGTGCCATCTTGGGCAAGAGCCCATGAATGAATGCGATGTATGAAATTTAAAGCTGGTTTCTTTCCTCTTTTATCGATAGTTTTCGTATCTATACACGATCTGTAGAAATTCTTGACTTTTTTTAATGTTGGCGAGTCTGTGCTTGGTTCATCTTTCTCCAGTGCTTCCAGAAGTATTTTTTCGTTGTTCATGCTCAGCTGAGTTATCGCAGAAAATTGATTACGGCCTTCGGGAATCGAGTGGTTTTTTATCCAAGCTCCACAGGAATACTCGAAGAAGTTATCACAAGGATTTACAGACACATTAATTGATCGTAAGATTTCGTTGGCAACTCTTCTACAATGTTCACGATAACATATCTTTGCTTTTTTATTACGTATTATCGACGACGCGTTCGACGGACGATTCAACACGACAGAAGGCAATAAGATAAAACATATTACACTTAAGTTGGCAAAACTTGTTGACATAACTAAAAACTACTTATATTAACAGAAAACATTAAAATGATAAATCGTAAACAAATTAATACATCGACAGGTACCAAAATGGCAAAATAAATATCATCAATAATTGATAAGATAACACATGACAGATCATAACATTTTGAGATAAAATCAGAATGGCTTTTAAGATCCACAGTAAGTGTACATTTGTACAAGTTCAGTGTGCTGTTATTCTATAAGCAATAATACGCTAGCATAATTAGAAAAGAAGCACACCAAGATTAAAGCAAAACACAGTGTAGAAGTTGACATTAATTTTTTTATGCATTTCACTAAAATCTCAATTCTGTGAACATTTAAGAAATGTGTAGCTATATTACACTAACAAAATTAAAATTTCCCAAACTATTCTGTTTTGTTGCAAGTGTTCTTGCTCATAAACATGCGCAATAAATCCTTTGATCAAACATTGTGGCTGTTTTGATGTATTTCATTATACTTGTACCATTAATACAGATATACTTTGAAGTATAAATTATTGACATATATGTCTGACTTTCGTCAACACTTTACCTTTTAATAATAATAATATATATGTATATTGTAATAATTATAATAACAGAAACAATTATTAAATGAACAATTGTAATTATTATTACAAGTATGTTATATACTTCTACTGATATAAACATCTCGTCTGTATAATATATTCAAGTACACGTATCGAAGTATTTAACTTTCAATTTTCAAAACGCCTTCTACTCAGGTTTGAGCATGAAAATCAGTGATGTAAACGAAGTTGTTCACATCATGAGCTGCAGTTTGGGGGATATTCAGGCAAACCTTTCAAATGATTTAAAAGCTTATTACTTTTCTCCTCTTTCGGCCATGAAAAGATGGGAAGTCCTTTAATCCAAAATGGTACGGTCATCTCATTGTTCAAGTGAAATAATACAGCAATAAAACGATCACTCAGGTAAAGATTATCGTGCATTTCACCGCGTATTTGAGTGATTTCTCCGTTCAAAAGTTTTTCTTCTTCTGAAAAATCTACATTCTTCATTTCATCTTCCTTTATTGCACAGTGTTTCAAGTAAGTCGATGAGAGAATCATGAAAATTTTTCTCGATGAATTTAACATATGCTCACGAAACTTAAACGACATCATTTCTTTGCGAAGAGATTGGTTTTCTTCCTTTAATAATTTACAATCGTCGGTCAACATCTGAACATCATGTCCATTATCAAGTAACCATTTGGCAAAGTTTTTAACTTCATTAACAAATTTCTCGTTTTCCGGAAAGAAGGAAATAAAATAACCTATAAATGAAAATAATAGTTTGTGACTCTCTCGATACTGCAGTGGATGCTATAGCTCACAAAACAACTATTCAAATCAATAGTCATGAGTTATTTGTTGAATAAAAGAGCAACTTTACCCAACCATAACTTTTACTAATCAATTCTAAATTGCATAAAAAATCAACCTCAGTTTATCTGCAGATTTAACAAAAAAAATCAATTATTTTCTGAGAACATTGATGATCAAATTTAGGAAATTTAACATCAAAATTTTACCTCTATAGCTACACACGAACCTGTCTGAATGGAAGGTTTTACTTTATAACATAATCTTCTAAGGAACATAATGAGAAGAACTAAAGTCGCAACAACTCCAATTACTAAACCAATAATGAGCTTTAATCCATATTCTTCGTGTTCATTATGTGCCTGTTTTTCCCATAACGTTGTTACTTGAGAAACATTCTTCTCAAATGATGTAGGATGTATTCCTTCATGAAAGAAAAACTTTTCTCACTTATTCTTGCATTTTGTCAGTGATAAATCCAAGCAACAAACTATTCATTACGGTAAAGTAGACAAAAATGTTTTCCTGTGTAGTATCGATCATACCTGATTTTTGCTCGTATGAAGGCCAAAACCTTAAGCCAACTTCCCTTTTAAACTTTATCGGCAAAGGATAAATCTGTGGAATACATGACAATCGTGCTATAAGATGCAATTTTCCATTTCATTTGTCACCAATTGTTTTCAGATTAATAATGCGACCACCCATATCACCACTTTCGCACAATTATGCTTATTATTTTTACATTTCATTGTTGTTTGAAGCATGAATTTACTATGTGACTTCAGAATACTTTGCATTAATAAAATTTTAGCTGGTATTTATCACACCAGGAATTATTTTTCACAAAAACATGATAATACTATAGTTAAGAAATGCATCACAAAAACCTAACATTTTACACTGACGGATCAGAGATGCGGGAGCCGGGACGGGAGGGGGGGAGGGCTCACGTCCACTCACGTTTTGCCATAGGAAAACAAAAAAGATATTTAGACTGAGCTGAAGTTGTTGTGAGAAGTGTTTTTTTAGTAGTATAGTAGAATTGAAGACTTCATCCCCGCAATTCATATGTTGCTTTACCGTCCCTGCGGATTACTACAAATTTTTCGAGTAAAAATCTAGGTCAACTAGAATTGGTTATAAAACATTCTTGACAGAAATCACTTATATAGGAGCCTGCCCAGTTCATCGCATGTTGGCGTAACAAAATTTAGCTAATGATTATTATAAAGTTGGCATTTTACATGAAAAAAAATGCGTGTAAAAACAGGTTTGCCCAGAGTAAATTACACAAACAATGACGGTGAGTTAAAACCACTTGCTTGCACTGCAAGAAAGGATAGTACAAAGTCAAAAATACAGCCTTTTGACTCGTAATTTGATCACCCATAAAATCTTTCCTACATTTATTCCATTATTTGATTAACTCAAACTTAATTTTCATTCTTGTATAATGAGGCACTTGGTGGGAGCATACAGTATAAAAAGCACATGCTCTTGAGAAAGGAATCGAATAATATATCGCTGAACAAACGTCTGGTAGTTTACGGTCCTTAATAAAAGGAAAGACGGCAGAAAATCAAACAAATCTCTAATCTGGATACTATTCCAAGTGTTCATGGATTTGTACCTCTCAAAATAGATACAACGTAAAACATGCATTTTGTATCACCATCCGTAAAGTTTACACTTTTAGTCATCTATGAATTTTTGCTCTTACTCACTAAACTGTAGTTTCCATGGTAACATAGAACTAAAAACGTTGTCGCGGTGATCATATACACAAAATTTGTTTGGGTTTATAGTTATTTTATAGTCGAAGGGCAAAATGTACTTACAAAAAGAATCAACGGGTACTTGCTAGTCCACTTTGTTGAAGGTAATCTTATATCATAAGTCGTGGTCTGGATAAAAAAGATGGGATTTCTTGCAACCGTTTAACTTTGATACATTACTACTATATACAAACATGCTGCATTTATAATATAAAATGATAAATCAACATTTTGATAATTGTACCTTATTATCAAGCACTTTTATTTCACAGCGTCCCACAAAGAAAATCCATTTGAGAAAATATGCTTTTACACGATCTTTATTTGTGAATGAATAAATATATATGTTAATTAAAGCATACACACAAAGCTCACAAATCATGACAAGCAGGTTATCCTTTTTTACATCCTTTCCACATCAGCATATATATATGCCTGTAGTAAAAAGAGTGGTGTAGGGGGCTTGGGGTCAAGAGTTTATACCAAAATGTAATACTCTTATTTTATGTGATCAAGCAAACTTCCCACTTGAATAAAAACCATTTTTTAGAACATGCATACCTTGAATCTATACATCCTTTCAATTCTTGAACTTATGAAAAAGATAAACTATTTACATGTAATTATGCTGCATTTACGGCCTAAATCCTAGTTTACTTTATCTCATGAATGGAAAGAACTTAAAATCATACTTGAAGAATGCTTCCACTTGACTGTAGCTGAGTGATTATGAAACTGCACTTGAACATCATGTTTTTTCAGCATGCTATGCCCATTATCACTGTAATAATCTTTCTGAATTTGGTCGCAGACTATATAAAAAAGCAGGAGAAAATGAAAAATAATCAACAAGTACTTGACACCCCACAACATAAATCAGGGTAGTCAATATAAGTTAGCAAATCACCCCAACATTACTACCCAAACACCCAAATCCCTATAGCACTATCGCCAAAAACTGGCTAGCCAATTTTGGCTTATCCTACTGGCTTACTATTAAGATAATAAGGATTTAAGAAATTACTTGATCAAGGAACATATATATTGATACATCTTGAATGAAATGAAAGTCTTTTCAACTGAGCTTCTACAAACTCTTAAAGTTAAGTTTACACTGCTACGACAACATCATATACAATCCTTAGCTTCACAATGTGGCATATTATGTGTTGAATTTACATATTTTTTTCATCCAATCAAGATCTATGAAGTAGGTATATATCAATAAGATGCATTTGAAAAGATAAATTTTGTAAATGCACATTACAGTTTGTTTTATGCACACAATATAGCACCTACTCTGTTGCAGAAATATTTAACCACGATAAATCTAGTCACACATAAAATCAATTTTGTTGCATTTTTAATGTACTTTTTAACACAAACCTTAAGTAAATTTAGAAATGTTTGTTCTTATCAACTGATTTCCAAAGTTTGAATATAAACATGTCTTGAAAATAATATCTCACATGAGCAGGCTTTAGCAATAAATATAATTCATAGAACAAAACATAAAACATTTATAGCATTAAACAATACAAAACAACAATTATACATGGGCAGCATAGTCTCAAAAAAATTTTCTACATAAATGCCCTTCTTGGTAAAAAAAAAAACATAGAGTTGAGAGTTAGATATAGTGAAAAAAACATTTCATGGATTGAATACTGACAATCTGCAATTTTAAGGTAGAAATTCTGAATGCCTTTGATACTTGCTTTCAGCATATATCTGTAGTAAAGTTTACAAGAATTCACCTTCTATCATAGTAAAATAATCTTTTCAATCATAATTTACCTATACTTCGTTTGTTTCTTTCCAAATTGCTTTTTTCATCATTTTCTACAAAATTTATGGGAAATGTTGTGGCTATTGACATGAATCAAATGGTTAGATCACTTTTATGCAAATGTCAATTCATGTTTTTAAATCTCAAAATTAAAACATTTGGCTGTGAATAAAATTGAAATATTTGTAAGCACTTTGCATTAGTAATAACAAAGTGCAGTTGAGCTACACTTGACCATGCTAGAATAAAAAATGTGAATTATCTATACAACGGCACAGAGATGCAAAAGCATCACAATAATACCTTTAAAAATACTGCCCTGTTTCCGCTCCAAAATGTCACAACGAGAACAATAAATACAGCAATTTCCCTACAAGCCATCAAACAGCATTTTCCAGGAAGAAAAAATGGTAATGAAACTACAATTAAGATATTTTACGAAGATACAACAGCGCTCTTCAAGATCTTCGACTTCCTTTGTTGGGAGTATTTGCATAAAGTTGTCTTTTTCATTTTATCTTGCATCAAACTGTGTCAAAGAAACATATCGTATTTCAACTGCTGCTGAATACAATTAGTGAACCATAGAGCAACAGCAAATACGATTGAAAGAATGGACGAGACGAGAAATATCTATTAAACCCATGACGATATATAAAAGAACGCGCGGAAGGCCAGGGTTACAAGATATTTTGAAAGAGAATTACAAGAACAAACCAACATCCAAATCTCCATAACTTTAGCAAAAATTACCATATCAAAAATATCAACAGCTCCCTAACTCAAACTCGCATATAAAAAGTCAGGGTCCTGAATACTCTCCACTCAGTGGCTCCACCACATTTTAATTACAAAACATTTTCACAGCAGATTTCTCAAAATTGGCTCAATAGTACAATAAACTAAGGCCTGTTTCGAACGTCGAACTTTACATGCACCGAACGCATTAAAGACAAAAGAAAATGAGATAAACTTCCTTGTCATCTTCTGTTATAAATGCGTTCGGTTCATGTAAAGTTCGACGTTTGAACTAGGCCTAACTTTTCTAATTTGAATGACACAGACGGTATTTGTCATAATGACATTTTGATATTTTTAGGAATTTATCCGGCAACGTCGCTGTCACTGTAACAAACCAAATTTTTCAAAGAAAAACAATAAAAAAATAAAAATATTTAATTACCACAAGACTTTTCAGTAATAAAAACAGATCGACTATTTTATATGAGCAGTAGTTGCAAAATTATTCTAAACGATGTCGATTATGTCGTCAAAAATATATGAATCGAAATTCAAGATGTCCAGGATCTGAATTGCTGTTATAATCATTCAGTCTCCCCCCTTTTTTTTGTAATAAAAGGAAATAAACAAAAACTGTTAATTTTACATGAATCACTATTACAACTATATATGTAAAAACACACAACACAGAATTCAGGATTCCAAAAGAATTGAAAACAACTGAAAAGTTAATGGTAATATTTAATATATTTACAGTAAATACATGCTTTGAGCAACAAGTTACGTGTATAGCTATGTGTCTATAATACGAATTTTCTGGACGCTAATATTGAATATTTTTATCATGTGACAAAATTTGAGATAAATTCATCGTTGCAGGTGTAACTATAAAGATATTTTTTTCGTTCCAGATCTAACAAGGCATCGTTCTCTCTACAGGTGTAACTAGTATATAAAATTTTTCTTATTACAGGTCTAAGTTTAAAGACATCTTTCTTCCAAGTTGTAATTAATAGCATAAATTATTTACGTCTAGACTAATAACGACTGAATACATATAAAGTGGAAGACAGTGTCAACAATGAATAAATATGACTGTTGTATGTAAACTTATATTTGATGGAATATAATGGCGAATGGTAGTCGTCGACTGTATGCTAGAAGCGCTCATCAATGCCAAACGCTTGTCTAATAACTCCGTACATTAGACTCTTCTCAATCAAATACATTAAGTGATTTTTCTTTATCGCAAGATCGTGATTGGAATATTTTTTTCCTTCCCAATCTGACTTCATTTCACTTTTTAAATTCTTCAACCAAAGTAAACCACTTGACAGAAATTTCTTTTCAAACGTCTCTCCATGAACTTCGGTCTGATCTTTCACAAATCCATTGGCAAGGTTTTTCTCTGATTGTAATTCATCTTGTTTAATTATTTTTGTATAATTCATACGATTGGAAAGTGAAATGTGTTTCGAGCCATTATAACTTTTCTTGTTGTGCATTAATTTCTCGTGAAATGTATTTTTCTCTCCAAGTAAAAACGTCTTGTTTCTTGCCATTTCACGAGGATCTTTAATTATGAAATCTCCATAATCTTTTACGATAAACTCTTTCATAATTTCTGTGTTTTCAGTTCCAGCAACATCATTGGTGGAAATTCCTGGCTTCACTTCGTCTGTTTTTTTATGTATTTTGTTTGTAAGTACCATTACAGAGTCTGTTATGTAGAGATTTAAATGTACGTCAATAAAATAAAAAAATATTGTAATTGTATTCATGATCGTAAAGATGAACAAACCTGTCACATTGCAGTGTTTTCTCGAGCAATTCCACATGCTTTTATTACATTTGCTAAAAAAAAAAATAACAAAGAGTTGACACGTTTTTAGGGATATTTCATCTTTAAAAAAACTGATACGTCTATAACATCACCTCTGCCTGATGTACTTACCACAATGTACACATATCGTTCAACAGCGTAAAGTCGCCATGAAAATATTGCCGATCATCGTAAACACATGCTAAATAAAAAAATATTCATAACTTAAACGCCATGTTTTATAGCGTTTAGATCTCATTATACGCAACTTATTGTTCATTAGTCAACCTCCTAAAAGATTGAAGTTCTTATTTACGATACATATTCAATATACCTGAGTGAAAAATCTCGGGACAAACCGGACAGCATCTTCCTTGAATATGTATAGGATTGTCACAATTTGACATTGGACATTTCACCTCATGGCAAACCTCGCTACCACCATTACTACAGAAACAACTTATACAATCATTTACGATCCATCCTTCACCAACTTTGTATATTTTGTCAGTCAATGAATCATAACAAACATCTTTCATGGTTTCTACTACTGATGGAGCCGCTACAAAGAATAAAAACAACTAATTAGCACAAACTGAATTCTTATTAAAAGTTTCGAGAAATAATTATAAACATTAAAATTATTTGCATAAAATATTTAATTAAAAGATAAATAATAAATTTTAACGTAAGAAATCATTTTTTCAAAACTACGCCAGTAGACAATGTGTACGAAATGTTTATATTTGACAAATAATATTTAAGAAATTAAAGATGTTTACGGTGTTTGCACAGGCTTATGCAAACCGAGGAGACCTTTGGGAGAAATCTAGAACTGATCAGTGCAAGCCCGAGACCGAAGGTCCAGGATTGTCCTTTGCTTGGGAGTTCTCACAAACGTCTCAAAGCTTTACATAAGCTAATTAATGCAAAGACGAAAAACATTTTTATTTCTTTTATAAAATTACAATAATACGAAACAGACAAATTTAAAGCAAACGTTTTCATTTTTCCTTGAACAAGTATTCATGATTGATTGGCAAATTCTCTTTGATTGATTGATTTTTTTCATTGCTTGAGCTCAGATTGGTTTGCTGCAAGCTAATGCAAACGCAGCTATAGACCAATCAGCGTTCGCGTTTCATTGTAGTTATTTTATAATTACTGGTGATGATTTATATTGGATGTAAACGAACATTGATATGATTTATCTGAAAACCAATCAATTGAAATAAGTAGTACCTATTTTTTCATCTCCATCGCACACAGGACAGCATTCACCATCTTTTTTTACAGGATATTCGCATGATGGTTTACTACATAACAACACCTTACAAGATATTTCACCTTCAAAGCAAACACATTTTGTACAGTTATTCATTATCCAGCCTTCCCCTGAATGATACCAAAGGCTTGTTTGGGGGTCCTGGCAATTTTTTTCTTTCATCTCAACAATCATACCTAAAATAATTCAGTTAACAATAAAATTAGAATTTTTGATAACATCCAAGCTTTTTAAGAGAGAACGACTTTTGGAATCTAAAATTCAGTCATGATCAATTAACATTAGAAATTGTATTATCTAAATATTTTAACATGACAAAGATACTACCTTCGCTTTCATTATTTTTACAGACTGGGCAACACTTTCCCTCAACATACACTGGGTTTGAACACGTGCTTAAACATGATGCAGCAATACACAAGGCACGACCATTGACACACGAACATGATATACAATCATCAACATGCCATTTCTCTCCATTACGATAAGACATTCCTGACTTCATATCATGACACATATCTAGAAGCATACTTGTGTCATCTTTATCTACACAAAATGAAGAAAATTTTCCGCTGTTGCTTGATTTCATGAAAAAATCCATGAATTTTATAATAATATAATAACGATATAGCTAACTCTATGTTCTATTTGTAACATACTAATTACCATTATCTTCTGTGTTGAAGTAGAAAGGAGAAAGTTGTTGATTATACGTAGGCAGCGCAGATGGAAGTAAATCTAGATAAAAATATAGATGAATAGTTGATTTAACACAAATATTTGACTGAATGCCGAAAATAAATTCAAATAAATATACCAATTGTTTTCGTTAAGTACGCAGGTGCAGTAAATAATTATGACTGTTCTTTCTACCTGAGTTACAGACTTCCTCACACTTTTCCTTGGATATGAAATTGTTAAAACTTCCAAAACATCCCCCATAGTCAAACTGAACACAGCTTTGAATTGTGGCATTAAAGTACCAACGTTTTGTCAATTTATGAGAACACATTCTCTTGTTAGGATTCGAGAAGCAAACATGCTTCATTAGATCATCTGTTGAACACAAATATATAACATTATTAAAGAGCCCACATAGGAAGTATAGGAGGTATAAAATGTACAGTAAGTGTACGAGGTATAACGTGTATACAAGGTATAGGAAGTATACGATGTATAGTAGGCATTGGAGGTAGAACATGTATAGAAGGTATAGGAAGTATACGATGTATAGAAGGTATAGGAGGTAGAGCATGTATAGAAGGTATAGGAAGTACACGATGTATAGAAGGTATAAGAGGTAGAGCCTGTATTGAAGGTATAGGAAGTACACGATGTATAGTAGGTATTGGAGGTAGAGCATGTATAGAAGGTATAGGAAGTACACGATGTATAGTAGGTATTGGAGGTGGAGCATGTATAGAAGGTATAGGAAGTACACGATGTATAGTAGGTATTGGAGGTAGAGCCTGTATAGAAGGTATAGGAAGTATACGATGTATAGTAGGTATTGGAGGTAGAGCATGTATAGAAGGTATAGGAAGTATACGGCGTATAGAAGGTATGCAGCCTTACGAAGTGCATAAGACTGGACCAACTTGATATTAAAGTGGTTATATGTTCATACAGAAGCGTAAACTTACCCGTGAGGAAAATGTTTTCATAATTGCTTGAGTTACATCATATTATTTTACATAAAAAGCTTTACCTTTCGAATTGTCCTTTTCCATTTTCAACGATGGTACGTCGGAAGCGGGAATGTGAACAGATGGAGTTTGAAGAGCAGGAGAAGGTGTCACGTATAATTCTATTTTAAAAAAGAAAAAGTAAAGATAGTAAAATTTAAAAAATCCCTAACAAAATATAAAAAAGACATCTATACCTGACACCAAAGGTATATGCTGTTCAACAAGAATGTCATTCATTATCTGTTCTTCGGGTTTGGCAATATTGTTGTTATCAATGAATTTTTCCAATAGAGGATTGTTGGTAGACTTAACTGCAATAAAAAGAATTTAATTTATCTGGTTCAAAAATACATATAACATTTAGCAATTATACATAGCTTACCTCCTTTAGATTGACATGTACCAACAATAAAGGAGTCTTCCAAAACCTTCGAACGTGGAACACGACATGAATATCCAACAGGACAAGGTAAAACAATGCGTTCGTTATCCTCAGATGATACAAGACACTTTAAATTTTGTGAGCGACGAGGAAGATCGTTTATTAAACAGTCAGCATCAATCTTACACTTCCATGTTCCATGATGGCAAATGCTGGGATTAAGAAATGAATAAATACAAAACTATCGCTTCAATGCAGCATAAAATTCTAGAGATATTGACATTTTATCACCGACAACTCAAAATTAAAAGAAATTGTGCACATTTTTCATTTAGTCCTAAAAATAACTAAGTTACGTTGCCCTGACGCTATTTTTAATCTGAAGTCAACATAGTTTGTGAATTCAGGATGTTGTTTTAAGTGACTGACATAATATAAAATGACAACAACACTTGTGACTACGAGTAAATTATCTATGAAAAGTAAACATCTTATCTGTCAATCAATGTCAAAACTTGTAGGGAGCCATGTCTGTATTGGAAACAGATTGCAAGACCTAACCCAACTTACCAAGTTTCACACGGTCTGCCATCTGGTTTACTTACGCCAAACCTATATTCCCTGCCTTTGTAAGAGCATTCTGAAATAGACAAGAGACGATCAAGATTACTGTAAAATCTATATTTTTGTTTTGTTAGAAACAACTTCATAAGAATTTCATAAAGAAGAAACAAATTTGAAAAATTCCTCATCACTCGCTCTATATTTATACTTGTTCATTGAAAAATTACCAAATTATATAATGGTTATTTTTAGTAATAATTCAGTTTTAAATGAAAACAAAATAAACGTGTCTCAATGTCTTTTTTCAAATGAGCGTGATTAAACAAATGATAGTAAACATTCCCTTTACGTAATACAATACAATGCAAGGTCATTGAACGATAAAAACAAGAAAAACGTCCGATATATTCATTTTAAGAATAATGTTATTTCATCAAGTTTTCAAAACTACGGCTTTTCTCCGAGGAGGATCCATGCCCTGTCTGTTTTTCATACAGCTAACGTAGTTACGTCGTTTACTTAGTTTAGTTGTAAGCAAAGTAAAATATGATGAACGTACTTTTACATTTTCCCATCAACAAACCAATCTCTGTTTTTGTAAGACACTCGTCTCTGCGAAGGCGACATTTATTTCTATATTGTTTACCATTAGACAAGCCACACACGGGAAACTTTGCTTTACCACACCGACGAGGACACACACAAACAATTTTACCACGTTTGTTTGTCTTACATTTTTCACGAAATCCACAAGTCTTACTTCTACAGCTATCTATAAAATAAAGATCGAGATTGATAAATGATCAAATTGTTACAGAAAGTATGCATCCGTGCATGTTTTGAATAAATGTAAGTCTACATTTGATAAATACACATAAATAAAAAATATAGTAGTTGGCATGTGGGCTAATTCATTTTCTGTCATTGAAGATGGCGCGAGTGTAGAAAAAGATCATTAATACTAATCATGTAAAGAGATTATTTTGTTTTAAGATACACACGTAGGTGGATAATTATTATATCCAATAATCTATTAAGAGGATAAATTGGTTTTAAGAATACCTTGAAATATTTGATAGTAACATAACTTAAACACAAAGCTCACATGTATGTTAAAATTCAATGTAATCTATTTAAAAGAAACTTTCATTGACTGCCAAGCATAAATATGTATAATTTTAAATGAAAATGCTAGAAAATCAGTGCAACGCCAAACAACTATCCTGCATGAAAAGAGGACTCTAGGATCGTAATAACAACTAAAATGTTACAGGAGAAGAGGATTGTATACAATTTAGTTATCTAATAAACAGCCTAAAGCCATTCACTGCAAGATTCAGTTTCGACAGCCGCGTATTTAATCACATCACGTAGCTGCAAGATCGCCAAACTGTTGACTTACGTCATATATATCCCATGAGTGAGATTTGTCTTTATTATTTATACATGTTTTATGTTAACGACTATGGTTAACGATGAGAAAAAGAACGATGAAATTCGACGTGGGAAAACTGCATTTTTGTCAATTAGCTAAGTGAGAAAAAATGTTCACTAAATTTTGTCCGTTTCTTAAAATAACGGATATAGAGCATAAGGCATTACATAATGACGCAATTATTTGCTTCCTTTTGAAAAACATACTCTTATATCACCCACATATGTAAAAGCGCTGACAGTCAAGAAACATGTGCAGGTCGAAGATAAAGTTAATTAGTCGTTTGTTGGAAATATCCAACATTTTCTCTTGATGTGTAAAAAATATTTATAGAATAAGTTTGCTAACAAGGAGGGATCAGTAAAAGAACACTTCTAGAATATTTCGTGACACATAATAGAAAAGAAAAAGCGACTCCTGCAGCGCCGCTAACTGACAATGACATAATTATGAAATTCCAAAGACGCGCACTGAACACTTGTTTACTAAATTCTAAATAAATTTTGAGGCTCAAATAAATTCGAGAATTACTAAAAAGAGTTTTATTTTTAAAAAAATCATATTCAGTACATTAAACCAATACATAAAACAAAATCGAAAATAATTTCTATCTTTCTATTTTTATCTTAATGCATAACTCATAAGATTAACACCAGGCAGCAGGAATCAATAATGGTTGATATTGTCAATTGTATAAGAGGCAATAAGTATTTAGATGAAGCACATCTTGATGTGACAACTAGCACGCAACTACACAAAGTTTACATTGAAGACTTCTCAAATGTGTTTTTTTTGCTCTAACGTTTGATTATGTTGCTAATGTCAGTTGATGTAACTTAGCCTGACTGCCTACATAATACATACCTAAGCAAATTTTCTTAATATTATGAGAAGATCGTTGTTTCTTTTTTTGGCATTTATCTTAGGATAATAAACTCTAGTGGGCGTGGAATGATCAGTTAACGATGATACAAACTTTAGATTTGAACAATCAAAACTCGAATCAAAACACATGGAAAGTGGCATAAAAAGAGGTATTGATACTTTATAGGAAGAGCTCAGCTACTTATCTCATTAATACACTTTAGCAACAAGTTACATATAACATATCTTTACCAATATTAATGATGGTCCATATAAAATTATTGTTGGCGACGTTGGCGCTTTTTATAATCAGTATAACACTTAATCGCAAAATAATGATATGAAAGGCAAATATTTATGAGCTTGGTAGCTATAAAACGACCAAAACACTAATCCTATTAATTGTTTTAATCGAAAGGAATATTCAATCAGCAAACCATGCTAGAAATTTGATGGGACCACCTAGGTTATATAGTCATACAAAAAAAGACGATAAGCATGCAATGGTGATATCAGCTGCTAAATCTATCATATTTTATAAAATGTAGTTTGTAATGTGAAAAGCGATTAACATCGCAAAGTTAGTGGTTTGTACTTTAGTACAAAAATCTCAAATCTCGCATTTTTCATGTATTTTCACAACATTAGGGTAATAAGCTTGTTCGTTGTTTCAAGAGTTTTCCCAAGTTACAAAGTCCTAACATAAAATCGAAAATGTTACAAGAACGTATTCAAGAGGCTAACTTTTTCAACTAAAACATGATTCACAAATTTGTTGTTTTAAGAACAGTTTTATACATTAGCACTGTAAAGTGAGACAAAAAGCTAACTGGCCTGAAAAATCGCATTTATGCTTGAAAATGTCAACGTTAATGACATATCATATCAACACAAACGAGAAAAAAGTTTAGGGCGTTCCAGAACACATACTCACCTGACCATTGAATGATTTTTCAAGATTGACCGCACAATTGGTGTAGGTTGCGCCCCATGCATCGGCGTGGCACGTTCCTGGCATGCTTTGACGCACAAAGATTGTCAAGCAGCCTGCTAAACTGCTACTCAAATCCAATAATCGATTAATCAACAACGAATCACCAACATGTTTGTCTCAATCGACAAAGTTAAAAATAAATGATAAGACTGAATTTTAAATTGCATAATTTGAAGCATCCTTTTGGTAATGACGCTAAACGGTTTTTTGTCAGGTCTGATAGGATTTATTCTGTTTTTCATGTTTCGGACATATGAGAAAAAAACAAAGTATTTCATACTGGAGACGGAAGGCATAAAAACTAACAAAGTATCTAAAAAAGAAAAGCTCCTAAAGAAAATACTATTTGAGTTTAAAATGTGACGTATTTTCTCTATTAGGCAAAAAGTAGAAAAAATGGAATTGGAATGTAGTAATTGGGTTTTGTTTCCCGCTGGTCATTCATCATTACCGACAATAACGTTATCTTATGGAATAATTGGTTCTTTATGACATTAAAACTCACCTGTTACACAAACGCCAGCTCGAAAATGTTTGGGTAGATATATTTTAGACCGCTCTGATTCGATGTGACATTTTAAACCTTCACCGCACTTGCCATGAATATTCCATGGTCCTCCACAACGCTCATTGATTGACTTGGCGCAAACATTGCAGCAACTACATACATCTTTTACAACACCAGTCTTGCAGTTCAAAGGTTCAACGCAAGCTGTTTTATCACATATAGCGCACGATAAGGCATCCCTGTTTGCGCAAATCCGATAACCAAAGTAATATCTTCATCACGCCAGCCATGCTGTTAAAAAATGAGTAACTTAACTCAATGAGATTATGTTTGTTTTTTCTGCCCCATGGCATAAACTTTCATGAGCGGTATGAAGCACTTCATTCCCCCATTTTATAGTTTATATTTAAACAATTTTAACTGTGATGCATTTGTAAATAGTCAGCATGTCTGAATGGTAGTTATTCAATTTTAAATATATAACAATTCTTGTAAAATAAAACATGTTTAAATACTTGAAACTATTATTAAGTACATTTGTAAATAACCGTGAAACAATATGAGTTATACGACCACAAATTATTATCTAAAGTAAATACTTAGCACGCTCTTCGTCAAAAAATCGTTTAAAGGTCGGCTATATACTATGTCTACTGCTGCACAAAAAATTATATTACGAAAACTATTGTCAACATAAATTTTTTAGTACAATGATTAGGAATGAAAATACAATAAAAAAAGAAAAATACGTCCGGAAGTTCACTATTTGCATAACGCATTTTAGGCAATGAGCGATAATTGTCATCAATTGTTTTCAGCGCATGCAACGCGACATCGATACAGCAGTGGGACAATTTCGTTTGAGCTTTATAATTCTCACATTGTTGCACGAGATTGAAAACTATTTCACGAAGTTAAAATATAAAGTGTCAATAAGCACAAAGCGTTAAATAAGAAAGTTACGTTTGAATACCATAATCTTAAAACTTTCTTCAATATCCCTTGTGTAAACACAAACAAGAATACATCCAGTTTACTAAGACGATATAGTATATTTCGCATCGAAGTACTATGCTGAACGAAATAAATCTATTTACCTTACGTTTTAATAGAACGTGATAAGATATTCCAAAAAGGATTTGACGTTTGTCGTAAGTCGAAGAAGCAGTTAGCAAACAACTTGTATCACTCTTCGTCTCTTCAAATGAATAATAGACGCACCTAAATATAGCTTTTATAAGCAGCAGGTTTGACATAAGGGTTGACCTTTTTGCACGTCAAATTGCGAAGTGTTATGTTACACACGCTATGCTACAAATAACATTAAACAAGGTTGGGGACTTTTTTGTTTAGTTGCTTAGCAATTGATAATGACGATTAATTTAAAAGATATGAAATGATGATGGAAAAATGTAACTTACGATGAGTGACCATGGCAGGGAAAGATGAAACAGATGTCTTTCATCCAGTAAGCTATATCCAGTTTTCAGGGGTAAAAAATTCAAGCTATAGAAAAGAAAAGTAGTATCAATTACACATTTTAATAAATGCCAACGCATTATTCTAAATGTTACGTACAGACAAAACAGGAAAATATGAAAAGGTGTGAAGGATACAAAGCGCTATTATGACCATGTGGCAAAAATTGACTCGTGAAAATTGGGTTGGTACAAAAGTCTTTCAATAAGCAGCAATTGTTACATTTATGGCAAACAGAGTTTTCAAATACACGAGAGTCAAAGCAAAACTTCATGATCACGAAAACAAGGTTAAGTTCTCGATGAAATACTTGAGGGAATGTTGAACACGAAATTTTGAAATTTGAAAATTAAGTCAATCAAAGGAAGTTTGAAATAGTTTCCAAATAGTTTTATAAAAGTATTTTAATGATATTCATCAAGGATATAAGTATGATTTATCATACGATGTCGTTAAAGATAAGAGTTCCATAAACGTACAAACACCTTACAAGTACATCGGATTATGTCGTATTAGGAATTTATGATGCATGCCAATGGAATGCAAAAATTTTTAGTTGGATGAATTAAGAATACTTATCATTCTCAAAATTAACTAAACTCGAACAAAGAGTATCTTTATTTGTAAACAAGGGAAAAAATTAGTTCGCCATGTAAAATATTACTTAACACAGTGGTAGCGAGCCCGATTATTTAGCCATGCCATGTCAATTTTTCTTTGTTCGCTCATTGTTAAAGCAAAAGATTTCTATAAGGAAATGAAAAATGATGATATGAAATTTACATAGCGCGACGCAACTACAGTGAGGTATGAAGTCTGTAAGCGTTGAAAGGAAATCTATACTCATTTGTACAAAGCATATCAATTACACGCTGAACGAAATAAAATATATAAAGAATCAGAACAACGAAGCGATGACCATGAAGGACATCTTAGAAACTGCGACGTATGACGAGGCCATAAAATAAATCTTAGAAACTACGAGGAGTGATAGGAAACCTTGGAAATTATGAGAAGTGGGTATGTGTGAAATGGTGCTTGTCTAAACAGGATGTATGGAAAGGTGTTGGGAGGGAGTTAAAAATAGTGTTGCCTTGAATAGCTACACATTTGTATCGCTATACTGACACAAATAAATTTTATGTCACAGTATTATATATAGTTGAGCTTGAAGTGGGTCGTTGTAGACTAGTCGGAGTTAGCAAAATAAAAGCAAATAAAGCAAGGAGACTTAGTGGTATAGGGCAATGAAAGAATCCATCAAAAAACAACGTCGATTCTACATCATTCTCAAAAGATCTAAGAAACAAAAACTTCAAAGGTAGAAAACAAAATTACGTTGAAAAGCAAGTCAACATTAGACATAAAGAACAAACAAACTTAAGCAAGGGTCACACACAAAAAGCTCAATGGCATCTGGAAAATCAAACATCAATAGGCTAAGAGCGGAATCTAGACGGGAGGATGGATTAACATTTATTAATGACATGGAAAACTGATTCCACTAAAAAAATATTGAGATATTAACCTTTAAGACATCATTAGACTGAGTGTAAATCACATATTTTTATGCACAAATGGAAATGTCCCAGTTTAAATTTAATTATATGTGCAAATGTAAAGTGGATTGTTCATCAAAGCGAATAGACCAAGTTAAAGGTGTAAAATCTCATCAAATGAAGTTTCACATTTTATGAGAGCTAAAATTTTGCAAATGAAACTGCTAGTAAATATAAATGAAAACTTTATGATCATTTAACTAAATAGTTCAAATAAATTATATATTATATTGTTTCTTAGCATATTTCAAACTTTCAACATCCATATATTACAAACTTGCTTTTGTTACTTTGAGCACCAGGGATGGATTTAAGGGAAGTGTGTGGAGGGTGTGCACCTCTGTGAGACATGACTACATCGGATGCAGGAGGGTGTGCGCCACTTTTCCAGCGTACCCCGAGTAACTTTTACTGCGTCTCGAGAGTGTGATGGGCTGAAGCTTGCTATCGCCGTCCCCACATAGGATAGCGTGGAGGGGCCGAAACCTCCCAACGAAACGTTAACATGCGACGCTTTAGTGCTCTTCCTGTCCTAGAGTACTGGAAGACATGGACCGAAAACGGTATTTTTTACTTTCGAAATTTGTTTTTTCGCTATAAGAGTTCTTCTCACATAATAAACAATTACATTCAATGGTCTTCATCGTAAAATATATGTTGTCTCATGTATGTTGTCTCATTTGATGCCATGAACTCGAAATGAATAATTGAATCCAAGACTTAAAAATTTTTAGGAGGTTAAGAACTTTCAACGTAATTCGTGCCATAGTAAATTAAACATGCATTCACACAAGAAATGCTAACCAACGGCCAACCAATTGTTACAAAATTCTTCATTTTTTCGGAGAGAAAAAATGTTAACAAGCGATCGTTCATAATTGTCTACAATTTAAAATGTTTGCTTTCAAATATGAATTTGGAAATGCTGCAATAAAGCCGGCGGATTTTGACTGGAAAAAGCAAACGCACTTCAGAAATCTTTCACGAAGCTGCATGCCTCAAAGCAAATGATCGATGTGTTTTAATTCACCTCAAATCAAGAAGAGATTTGCTCTCCGATGTTTTGGATGCGTTTGTTGAGGAGTCAACCTTTGATGAATCCACAACTTCAACATAGATAAAACATAATCTTTAGTCATTAATAGTAAAATATAATTGACACATATACAGTTATGCTGATTGGAATGTCAATTGGTATTACCATCCACTTAGACAGTCCAATCAACATAACTGTAAATGTATCATATGCTATGAACAAACCTGGAAGATCTTTAGTTGCCCATTTTGCACCACTGCAGTAATGAAATCTTCGAGACCCGATATAATTTTGGTCCCTAAAAACAAACAAACAGCCAAACAGTATGATAAACAGCCATACACAGCAGTTATTTAGCTTCTGTTGGTGCATTGGTATACTAAATCCAAATCTTACTGTATATTTGCCTTACAGTTAAATTATGAATGCATTCTTTAAAGTAAGAAAATTATATGTACTTGATGAATGTACTTGAGGAAGTATTTGTGGAAGGCAGGAAACTGATGTGTCTACTTCAGTAACTGTCAAATGCATGACCACAACGCAACTCTCTACTAGACTTAACTATTGAAGAGTTTCAGATAAAACAGCATTGTATTTAGTTTAATAAGTTAGATATCCGAGAGTGACAACAGAAAGTAATCAACTATGGCTAACACAAAATACCTTTGAGCTGGCAATGATTACCAAACCTGACATTTCTGGTATTAAAGAAAATATTTATACTATTTACAAGTGCAAGATGTTTGGCATTAAAATGCGGGTAGTATTAGATCTTGATTATTGATGGGAATTAGGGTTTCTTTTGACTTGAGCCAGAAATATTTGGCTAAGATGTAATGACAACCTCGATGTAAATAGTAATTTTGTCATCACACAATAATGTGATAAATCATAAGAAGTTGACCTTGCTCTTTTCAAGTGCTCCTTGATAAGAAATTTGAAAGCTTGACATTGCTGAATTGGATACTCACAATGTAGTAATTGGAACACACATGTGAAAATTCTCAATTCTGGCTTCATTCCACACTGTTATTGACTGTACTGTTGCATTGCCATGTCTTTCATAACACAATTAAATCTTTTTGACTTTGTCTCCATAGTAAGAACATATATTAATCTTCAAAACTTCAATTTACATGGTTTTTTAAATTATCCATTCCATTATTTCTGTTTTTGTTATCTTTTGCACTAACTAGTCTTGTAAAACGATCTTTGACCCGATGACCAAGAGTACTTTCAAAGAAACCTTACATCCTTGAAGCGAAAAAATAAATTTCATTATAATTGTATCTAATCATAAAACATAATTTGCCACCAATTTAATCCAATAAACTAAAATTGAACAATACAAGAGTGTAAAATAAAATCTTTACAGCCATACTAGAAAAATATGTGGAGACAGGATGTTTAATATTACACCACGTATCTCTACCAATTGAAGTTCTTTCCAAATGATCGATCACAAAATTGTTTTACAATCAATGGTGAAGATAAAGAAAAGTATGCCACAGCGGCAAGCCAATAAATCATTCGAATATTAACAAATAATAGATAAAAATACTGAATATTATCTTTAGATTTATCAATTTCACATTAATGAGGAATAGTACTATCAAATAAATGGAAAGATGTGCAGTCTTTACCTCAAATATACGTCCCGATTGTGAAGACACTGAAGTGGAGTATGCCGACGCATCAACGCAAACAGAAGAAGATTACACGGATGATGATTACAACAGTTGTTTTTTAAATCATGAAACACATTCAACATTTTGTGCTGTTCATCATCGTGAGCCTTTAAGTATCGAAGCAGAAAACCTTCATTGAAAGAGCCAGGAACATCTGACTTCGTACCATCAAGCACGGATAAAAATATTGACCCCAAGAAGATCAAATGTAAAATTTGCCATAAATTTTTTAGTTCAGAATCTTCTTTTTTACAACACCAGACTGTCCATACAGGTGAAAAACCTTACCAATGTGAATTTTGTAACAGAACATTTCGACTTTCAGGAAATTTAGCAAGTCATCGTAGAACTCATATTGGAGCAAAACCATATCAATGTGATATATGTGGAAAGCGTTTTTCTAACTCCAGTAATGTTGTTGTGCATAGAAGAACACACACAGGTGAAAGGCCTTTCAAATGTGATATTTGTCCCAAAACGTTTAGTCAGTTTGCTCATCTTGTGTCACACAAACGTATACATACTGGTGAAGCTCCATTTCAATGTGACATTTGCCAAAGAGATTTAACAATCCAAGTAACATGAGAACTCATAGAAGAATTCATGAAGGTTTGCGACCCTATCAATGTGAAATTTGTCATAAAACATTCAAGCAATCTGGTCACCTGACCTCTCATAAGAAAAGTCATGCTAATTGAGTGATGTAATTGCTGGACAAAGCCAGCCTGAAAAGTTAATTTTGCTATCAATAGCAACAAAAATGAAAACAAACTCAAATTTTGTGAAGAGCAATAATTTACTGAATCTTCCAATGAAAATTGAGAATTTCATGTTTTAATAGCAAGAATAACTTGTCAAACTTACTTTGTTGCAGATTAAAATGATGAAATATTTTGTGTTAATAATGACATCAGGAATTCTCACAATGAATAAATAATTTAATTGATTTAACCAATGAGAACTACTTTACATGTTACATTGGTGGCTTAATTATTTGGCTTTATTGCTAAAAGTTTTTTAGGTTGGCTGTAAGTATAATATATTTTTTGTATCAATATTGTGACACCAATTATATTTATTGAAATACCAAATAAAATAAGACCAATATTCTTTAATAAAGAAAGTTTCGAGAGTTCTTCAATAGATATTGTATGGATAATAGCAGGAAGTGTGATGCATAATGTTGTATTTGCTGTTGCTCCAAACAATGAAATAATATATTCCAAATGAGGAATTGTGCTTGCCAAAAATGCTGAAATAAATGCAAATATAAAAATTGTTATATTTTGTATGTGATATTAGGTGTAATAATTAACCATTGTTCCATATGGCGAGTTGCCTTACTACCATATGGAACAATGACTACCCTCCGAATCAATTAGTTAAGCCAGCTCAAATGTTCACTACTATCAAACAAAAAAAAATTTTATTCATTCGTCAATGAACACAAGTATTATATAAGCTCACTCCCTCCCCCAAAGAAAGTTTGAAGATCAAATTATAGGGCAAGTTCAACGTACATAAGTTGAGCGATATACGAGAAAAAGCAATCATGACATGTCATTTGAAGTCAAAACTCCGGTAAGTTTGGGAAATATTTAAAAATACACCTATCTATGTATGAACATAAATTAAAAATATCAAAACCAAAATCTAAATAGAGATAAGACGAAATTGAGATCAAATGTTTTTTGGATGGGACTTAGTTCACTTTTTATGAATGAAACCCCTTCAGACAATGACACAAAAGTCTATAATATACAAAGAATGGTATCTCTATTTTACGGTCACCAGGCTCAAAAAGCGATGAATATGTCCATTCCGTCCTTCATAATTCTCATGAATACAATGGTCTTGAAATATGGTAACGTTGAAATTTGGTTAATATTTGCTTCTCAAACTTAACGTAAACTTTATTCTTACCAGTGATGATAACGATATTTGCACGAACGATATGACGTTTTAAGAGCTCGTATTTTTCATTGGCATGTGAGATTACCCAAGATTCAATGAGAGAAAATATTACATATGATTGCAGAAAATACGACAGAAAGATTGATATGCTTATTGTTAGCCTCACAATCAATGAAAGCCTAGAAACAAAATATAACCATTTTACTAGTGGAATTGATCGTATGATGGAGAAGACAAATTGATGATAAAAAAGTTCCTTGAAAATGCTTTAGACTGTATGCTCAATATAATAATATAAGGATTAAAGACTCGTTACTTGAAAAAAGACTATCGCGCAATCAAAACTAAAACTTATTTACTCGTCTTTTTCATTTGATGGATTTCCTTAGTTACAGAACTGGCGGTCTTATGCCAGCAGAATACACTGACTTTGTATGTAGCTAATGCTTCTCATTCAATATGAAAAATGAATAACAGGTAATGGGCTTAGCAAAAGCAAGTTTCATTTTAATCCGATAAGGTGCAAACTGCAAGTGGTGTAGAATTTCTAGTCTGCGAATATGAATTCAGACTCGATAAGCCCTCCCCTTTTTATTATCGGGGCATAAGACCTCTGATTCTGCTATGTATATAGTTATATACAACTAAAAATAAAACAATAACTGCTATGAAAACTTACGGTGTTTCTCCAAGATTCAGCGTAATACTACCATGACAATTTTCAGTACATGATAAATAACCAAAAAATCCCACAAAAATGTAAAGAAAGGTGACAAAGACCATTCCAAGATTGAGCAAAGTGGGAAATTTATCCGGATGCTTCATTTCGTTCTCAAGTGGTAGAATCTAAGCACATTTTTTCAAATTCAGATAAATAGATGACGCTAGTTGTAAGTTTTTATAATACTCAAAACAAAATGAGAACGGACATCTTGAAATAAGTTTGTTGATATGACAAGTTAGAAAACAAGTTATTTTATATACGCTCTCTCTCCTCGGAGGCACTGATAAAACATGTTACAATAGATTCTCCTTCAATAATTCAATAGAAACAGTAATTCGCATGACTAGTTCTTAACACTGAACATCTTTACTTGCCCTTCAATGCCCTTTAAGTTTATTAACTTTAAGTTTATTACTTTTTGCATCCCCCTAAAGTATTGAAGTGCTCGATAAAGCATTGCTTATGTTTTTATCTACTTACCAACCCAATGGATTCAAAGGCGTAAATGCTTGAAGCGACGAACAGTGGTATGCCATGCGCAGAAGCAATGCTGGGAAGACCAAGAGGATTATGAAGGCTTCCAAATATATGTACAAGCATACAAATAACACCTGTAATCATGAGCAAATTTGCAACAAACGAAAGCCACGCGAGTGTCGTCAGATTTTTGATTAGTGAAAATAAAATATAAATGGGCAATAAAAACAAAATCCATAGTCTGACGTCCACATTAAAATTGCAGTTGTTTGCGAAAACCTAAAAATAAAGTAAATTTTTTTTCATATGAATCTCATGATTTGACTTTGCATTGAATTTGTGGTTACCGAATTGAGGTTATATTTAACAAATAGATAACATTTAACCGTTGTCTATACAGTTATAGATATACGGGTATGACGTCAATTGTGATAAAAACTAAAAAAGTGGCCACGAGCCGCCGGGGCGAGAATTGGGAGGTATTGCGATAAATTTTCAAATATATCCGCCATTTGTTTGTTTTTCTAAACATGAAATTTTCTGCGACGTCAATTCCGTGCGTATGTCCTCTTATAGATCATGGCTCTCGACCAATGAAATTGCTCAAATTCTTCTGGTTATTTTATAATTCAAAAACAGTTAATCTTTACCTGTTGCAAGTTACGGGAAACGAACAACATATAAACGCAACAAAATCCAAACTGAGCACATAACAAAGACGAGTTAACAAGAAGTCTAAAATTAAATTTAGAAGTTTGAAAAAACTTCAAATTGAAGTTTAAAATAAAATACATAAAGGTCAGTATCATATCAAATGCCTCTACGCTAATTATATATTAACATTATATAATACAAACTATTTCATATGATCCAGCTACTCACCTTCCAATCCAACCTTTATTAGAATATCGCTTCTTAAAACATTCCTCGCCAACATCAGCAAAACTCATCTTAGATTTACCGCGCCTGTGAAGTGCACCATAAAAGTAAAATATACTTTTCCTTCGTATAATGTTAAAAAGAAAACTTTTATACGTACCGTCTACACCACGCTTTTGAACTTATCACTAACATATGCTCACAATGAACCATAAGTACAGCAATAAGGACCAAACCTATTGGACCTGCCTTTATAAAGACAAAATAGCACTTTAAACGGTTTGTACAAATGTAGCAATCACGATTGTAACAAAGAGAAGAAATCTGTTTTCAGCGAACGTAAAAAGTTTATAATTGACAAAATGTACCAATATAAAACAGAGCCGCATTTGGAGCCCCTTGGGCGACAATGGGTTTGGGGTCGCCATATCAATGCTTTGTGCTAGCGGATTTTATTCTTGGTCAATATTTTCAGGGAACTTATAATTGTATTTATCTATGATTGATTATATTTTTCTAAACTATTTAATCTCGTTGTCAAAACAAAAATTTTGAGGTCTAAAAAAGTTTGGGCCCCCGGGCACTGGTTTATGCCGCACTGACATAAGAAGCGACAACGGTCCAACTTCGTAAAATATGAAAGATATGGATTGTTTCACATGCAAGTTCAGGTAAAAATTTAAATTTTTATAACGGCTGTAGCATTGCCTTTAGATAATAATCTTTTCGTTACAAATATATAAAAATCAAAAGCAATACATAATAAATCTGTCTTTTTTTGCAATTAGGGAGCTGTTAAACCTGAACGCACAAAATAATGATTATACACAAGGTTCACTAATGTGTATGTACGTCCTTACGTTAACCATGGCTCCAACAAGTTACGCAAGCAAAAAACATCAGACGTTCCGTCACGAGTGACCATTCTGCATATTCCATATTCTTTGCCAAATGCCTAACCTAAGCCCCTTGTACTGTTCGATGTTATAAATCAAGAACAAATATTTTTCGTTATCTATATACGTCACTGTACACCAATATTGATGTTAATTTAGGGAATGATTCAATGTGTTCGATGACGAAAAAGACGTTTTCTTGCTTCGGCCACATTGAACACAAAACCAAACCAACAGCTTTATTAACCAAACCTATTCTATTTCAGAAAAATTGTCATTTGACATAAAACACACGTTCGATTAACTAAAATACCAATATATTACATACTTAAACTTTTAACCGTCATTTCACTGAAAATAGAAAACCACTCCCAGCAAATGATTTTTTCTTTTTTCATTTTTATCTGTCTCTCGCTGTTTCTTTATATCATGTCATATTATGTTTAGCGACGTATCTTTTAGCTACTTGTACATTCATAGTTGTAAGAACTTCATGCGTAAATTACGATTTTTTCCACCAAGGGCAACCACGTGTCATCAAAATGCAAATAATTTGAAATAAAATGGTTTATTCGTTTACCAGAACTCCTGCATGCCCCACTGCTGCAGGAAGATTCATAAACCCGGAACTGATCGTTGCTTTCACGAGATGTAATAAAGTATCCAATTCTCTATATAAAAAATTTAAGATTTCAAAATTGTTAAGTACTGGACGAAGAGTAACTTTATGGTAATAAAGTATTTCGTAGCCAAGACTATGAAATTTTAGGCAGGCGTGATTGAGCACATCATCCGTTTTTAAAAGACAGAGCTTTCTGAATTGTCGATGTTTGAGCAACAAATTTCACCTTTGTTGTTCAAATTTTGTTCACGAAGTTTATGATTGGGGGGAGGGGGGTCGCTAAAAATACAGAAAAATACATAACGGAGTACATAAGCAAATGTGTCAATCCAATACAAATTTGTATTTAGTTGACAAAGAGGGAACGAGATGACTGTCAACAATTACATTTTTAAAAATTTCAAGACTATAGTCGTCTTTGTACAATTGAATATTATGTAAGTATAATAGGCAAAAAACCATACATTGAACATCGCGTAAACGAAGTAATGTTGCAAAATTTACGAGTGTGCCAAATTTTCAGCCCAACAAAGAACATGGTGTTCGTTTATCTTTATTATTATTCTCATGTGGAAAACTTCCGAACTCGATTTGTGCCGTTTAAAGTCCGAACGTTTTAGTGATTATTTCAGAATTGTAAGAAAACGTAGCCAAGAGCAATTTTAGATATATTACCTTCTTATCACAAATTTTAGCCTGATTGTCGACATCATCAATAAATTCCCTTATTGTTACAGTTCACTGATTATGCTCAAGCGTTTATTAGGCAAACAGAGCAGTTGAAAAACCACATTGAAAGGTAACTTTGTAATCTTTCCACTCTATTATCATTAGTACTTACGTAGTTGCATGTTGGTGATCTCGAAATTCAGCAGGATTAAACAGATTTTCCTCATCATTTTCATCGTTATTTATGTCATGCACTGGTAATAATGCGTGCTTGGCATCATCGCTTGATATTTTCTCTGACTTCATGGTTACTTCAAGTAAAAAGACCACAACTTAAAAACATTGACCAATAACTTAAACTCAAACCAAATAATCAATCTAATTGTAAAGAAATGCGAAATAGAAACACGAACGACACCAATGACCTAAGTGCGTCGTACAGCCTCAGTGCTCCTATTGAGTAAAGCGGCTGAAGCGTAATTACATCACAGTATGGTCACAGAATAGATACATACAGAAGGGCCACTTTCGTCGGAGCCTTTGAAGATTTTGTTGTCAACCTTTCGCCCGCAATCAGGCATCGCCGCCATGTTAGCAGCAAGATAACTCCAGCAAGTTCGTAAAAGAAAATATAGTAATGAGAAACAGTTCGGCGCGTCCTCGATAATTATATGGCTATTCCATTTTTGTTTTGTGTATGCCATCACGAGCAATGTCAAAGAAGGTAATTTTGACAACTTAGGTCGAATCGCATCGTTAGAATACACGTTTTAGAGTCAAAATTTGTTATTGTGGTCTGATGCTTTTGCCAACTTGCCAACATTCAATCATGGTTATGCTTGTATTGCGAGTTACAATGAAAAGGATCATCAACTTTGTCTATGGAATTTTCCTTGTAGTAAGTTTGTAGAATGTTACAAATGCTTGACTTTAATGTACTTTCGCGATCTTTTATTAGAAGAGGAAAACTCGCGATTTGCAAATTTGATGCCGTAATAAATTCGCATTCTTAAAAAAAGTTTGACCAAATATTGCAGTGGAAACTGTGAACATGTACGGAATGGCACTGGTATCATGTTAAGACTCTTCAAGATGCTCTTTCCAACATTCAGATTTTTGGTTGTGACTGAGAAACAATCCACGAAGGTGTCTTCAAGTTGCATAATGTAATTTAAATAGCACGATGAAGGAGCAGTCAGCCCACCAAAGTTGAGTTCTTTATATGCCTTGAAATAGCAGAGCAAATTACCATCATTGCTTATGTTATTTGAAGTCAAAACGTTCTTACATTGGAGACAGCTGTGGATTTTGAATGCTTTGCTTAACAAATATCCTGAAACATAGGCAGCAGCATTTTTGAGCAATAAATTGTTGCTAATATTTTGTTCTCGGTAGTCATTTTCACCAATCAACAGTGAGTTACTTGGAGCTTTTGCATGGGTAAGTGGCATACTAAATGGTTTGGGCTTTTTTTTTGAAAATTGTGTTAGCAGAGTGTCCATATCTTTAGACCAGTTTCCTTTGGAAGAGGTCAAAAGTGAACTGAAAAAAACCTTTCGAAAAGCTCTGATAAATTGTATTGGCGTGGGATTGTCAGAATTACCTCCTTGCTGGCATATTGTTCCAAAAAAATTCTCTAGAGCATCTGTGTTTAATCTTCTGGTAAGCAAGAATGCAAAATTATGTGAGGCATGAAGATAGGTCCAGAGGCAGATAATGGCTTTTATAGATATAAGCCATCCCTTCAGTGATTTGATTCTGCCTGTGATGTTTTTACCATCTTTTACCACTTTGATTCCCTGGATAAAGGACATTGCTTCTTTGAGAAAAGCAATGTGATTATTGCTGTTGCTTATTGCACTTCTTTGTTCTTTTGCTGATTTCAGTGTGGAACTATTGATGCAATCGAAAAGTGAATCAAATTTTAAAAGCAACTCAGCTGTACCCAAGGCTGATGGTGGTAGTGCTCCAATTGATGAATATGTGCAAATCGATGCAGCAACGGTGTGGCTGAATATTTGTGCAGCATATTTAACTTGAAAATTAATCTGAATTAATGCAGCGACAGCGATGTAACGAAAATAACAATATATATATATATATTAATAGAAGCAAGAGGATAATTTTATTTCCTTACAACGGAATCAATACTTTATATTATCTAAAACATGACAAATATTAGGAACATATAGTTAAGAGCATCTGGAAGTTAGCTACAATCATACAATATAAGAATTTTCCCAACACAATATGGCATTGGCATTAAATACAATTGCACAAGTTTGCAATTTCTCAATGAACATTTATCGAGTGTTCGGGATATAACTAAATTTGTCTGAATTCTAAAGCACCAAATCCAATGTCATACGAAATATCTTTTTTATTGTTCCTTCTTGTTTCTGATTTAAAGACGTTCGTTAAGCGCTTCTCCGCTTCCGTTCTTTACAAATAAATAAATACGAATAACCTTGACCACACGGCCACGGCACAGCCTTTCTCATACAGGTCTCGATAGAATTGTACACATTGGTTGTACATGAAAAAGCATAAAAATATGTTGATTGTATGTTCCCATTTCAGCACGATGCTGAGGGTAGGTCTTGATTGCCTTTATTAACCACAGCTTTGATTTGGTCGTCTCAGGATAAATATTTCAACTTTTCAAGTAATAACGCCAAGATTTTTGAGTTGTACATTGCTACCCTTATTTAGTAGCAAGTTTATCTTGCTGCCAACATGGCGGAGTAGCACATGCGCATTAAAATTTAGGACCGCATTTTTCGCCAAGTGGCCCTTCTGTATGTTATCTATTCTATGGTATGGTTATGGATTAATTATATCATTATGTTCGGTCCACAAGCATCGGGATTTTATTTAACCTAAGTGGCTTCTAGCAAACGTACTATTCCGTGGACATCAAAGTGACGTTGAGCCATAGTAATCAATCAATTTGATGGGAGACACGTTTGCATAAGGCAATAACAAACTAACAGTCTGAAGTCACCTTCGCTTTCAACACCATTCAACATTGACAATCTAGCCGCTCCTGACATAAACATCGTACGTGATGCGCAAGTCACAGAGGTGTATTGCCAAAATTTTGACAAGAAGTGCTCTCCCACCCTGTCTGTCATCAACTAGCAGGACAAAAAATATTGCCGGAAGTAAATAAGAAGTCAAGTTTTAAACAAACAGAAAACGTATTGTTTGTATAAGCCGTTAAAATAAGCTGTCAAAACTACTTCATGTTTTAGTAATTTGACAGTTTGCATTGATTGGTACACACTGGAATGATCAAGGGTATAAAATCACAAAATCATAAGTTTATTGGAGGTAAATCACTTAAATCAATGCTTCACCATTTGAAATCATGCAATGTCAAGAAATTATGAAGAATGATAAAGAATTCTAAGTAGGTGGCTGAGCCCCACCTTTATACAACCCAGGCAAGTCAATTTGCACGAGCTGTTCTGAATGCGCAAAAGAATTAATTGGAAGTTGCAATAATTGTACAAATAGAGTCGTTTTGCATAATATTACTGCTTTAAATTGTTTTCACTTTCATGAGCAATTTAACAAAACATTTTAATTTGTATTCCTCAAACATAACTATGCGTAATATTGCAATGTAAATGTTTACAATTTGCAGCAAAACATTGCTAATCTAAAGGTGCCAAATTCCTAATGAAACAAGTTAGAAAACTACAGATTACCATGTCTAGGAGAGTTTAGAGCAATCAGTTTTCTCAAAATGTATGCAAATATAATAAATTACATTAACTTTACTGGCTAACATATTGCATTGAGTAAAACTAAATAGCTGACTTTTTGTATCAATACATGTTTTGTATCAAACTCTTGGCAAAACGATTAATCATTACTACCAGTAACACAGATTATAATGCTTGACATTAGGACAGTATAAGTGAACCTTGTCTAAAGCAAAAAGAATTTATAAGTTTACTGTGAATTAACCAACAAATCTTGTTACTATTCAACATAAATTTCTCATTATTTGTTTTTATTTACTTGATTATTGGGCTACAGAAAGGACATATTGGTGCAAAATGGCACTAAGTCAAAAATTGCTAGATAAAAAATTCTGAGTTCAGTTTGTTTGCAATGGTACTTTCTACTTTGACGAAAGCCTCTGCACTCTTAAAATAAAAACTTTTTTGAATATGAAGAAATGAAACAAATAACCATTTTGAAATTTTACAAGGAAAATACAGCTGGTTGAAAGGAATGAAAAAGATTTTATGTATAATAATATTCTCTATAATTTCTTTATAGTTGAGCCCCACCAATTTATTGATGGCAGTGTATTCATTCGATGATATTTTCTAGTTTCTTATTACTTTGAGTTAAATTTTTGTCATTTTATTCGAAAAGCTACAAGGAGCATTTGATGTTTCATCCGGCTTTGATATATCATTTCTTGGTCGAGCTTCTATGATCGTTGGCACGGCAGATAAGCGAAAATTGATAAAGTTAGTTAGAAATTTCTTCTCTCTTCTTTGCTTTTCTAGAAAAGCCTTCTTAAGCTCAAAACATTTGACAACTGTGCAGTTATCATTGTTACATTCGTGTGCGTGGTACTGCAACAAATATTGAACTCTTTTACAAATAGGGCATTTTGAAAAGTTTTCTTTCTCCTCAGAACAGTTTTTAAAATGTTTCCAAACATTCTTCATCGATTTGCATCTTTTGAATTTGCAACCATCAACTGTACATTTGCTTGCATGATCTAATACAGCCAAACATTCAGAAATCACAGCTTTGCGGTGAATGGATTTTTGCTTTTGTTCATCAGACATATGACGAAAAACCTAAACGAAATTGAATATCAACTTCAACCAAATATTGTTGAAACTACTGGGTTGTACATCATGTTTTCTCATCCATGTGTAAGTCATTTCTAAGGTGCACGACAGCGGGCATTTCGGAGGACGGGAGGAGAGGGGATAGCAACGTTTTGGCACTTCCGTGAATTTAAGCCACTGACCCGTGTAGCTATAGTAATTACCTGGACGGGAAACCTCGTCAAAATTATAACAAAAAAGCGCAACATGGATGCCGCCATACCTTATATGGCAAATTTTGGATGAAAATGTCAGCGGAGTTGCACAGGCTAAGATTAAGGAGACGTTTTCTCCCCTCCTAATTTCTACCAACAATTTAATATCAATAATATGTATGCGATTATAAAAAATATCAAAAGTATTATTCCAAACGCAAAATCTTTTTGAAATCTCATCGATAATACATGCTGAAAACGTGTGTGTGATATACAGTTGCCGAAGAACTTCAAGAAAAGGAAACATTTCAATGGTTTCATGATACCGCCGGTAAGCAAGATAATATTGTTTTCATCGTCCAAAGTGTTGAGTCTTCAATATTTATTATTTTGTTTTACTAAACTTGTAGTGTGATGGCATTTATTTTGTTAACTTTTTTACCACTAACTTATGATTTAATTGATGTAGGTTTTGGTCCAATCATTTATTTATGTAAATGCATGTCAGAAGCTTTGAAGTTGCCATTTCTTTTCGAGATGTGCATGTCTTGCATCAAACAAATCAACAAAATCTCCCATTTATTGTGAATTGAGTTTGGGCTGTTTAATTCCAGGAAATGGATTAGGATCGGTTCCTATTATTTTTCAGAAAATATGATGGGAAGTTAGGAATAGAGTTGTGCTGAAATTGAATGCCAACAAAATTAAGCAACTGTGGTACATATAGTACCACAAAAATAATTTTAAATCAACCCCTAGTTTGTTTTGCACAAATTAACAGATTACCAGCAATAAAGATATTGAATATGGGTAAAGATTTGCTCCATGCTGCTAGTTTGTGAATAACGCTTTGGGTTTTTGTAAATAAAGTATGCATTGTAAGGGTAAACATGTTCATAAATCAAAAAAGAATTGTTTTGGATATTATTGAGCCAACATTTGCTTCTACTTTAAAATTTTTATTCAAGAAAAGCTTATTACTTTTTGCATCTGACAACCATCCACCTTTGGTATAATTCCAGGTAATCAAAGATTCCCATTGGATACAATAGTTGCAATGAAGTTGAAGGCAGAAGAATAAAAAATAATGGAAGAAACTTGTATATATCTGATGCAGATGAAGTGCAAATAAATAAAATGAATAAATAAATTAAATTTGAAATCATAAACAATTTTAAGTTGCAAAATGTGAAGGTGGTCCTGTACAAACAATTTGCCCTGGCAAAGTCTCTTTGTTGATTTTTCATCTTTTAAACAAACTTTTTGTACAAGCTTGATTCTTAACATGTTACAAAATGCGAAAACATTACCTGTAATGCACAATAATATTTATAAAACTTTATAACACTAAAATATTTTCATTGAAATTTTACTATCCAAACAATTTTGCTTTCATGCAGCAAAAAATAATGTTATGTCAAAGAAACCAACTTGCTACAATTTCAAAACTGATAATTTCTAATAAAAAAATGCAGTACTGTTCAGCAGTTGGTCCTGAGTTGTGGTAAAGTTTTCTTCATCCTGTTGTAATGAACACAATCCAGTATCCTAGCAATTTGCTTGTAGCAAGATCAATTCAAAACTTAATAACAACAAACTTAGCCAGTTTATATATATAGCAGTTTACATGCAGTAGCTGTAGGTTTAGATCAGTCAAGGTAGTTGCATTAAACTGTTTGAGAACAGAACAGTTAAGTCGTCTGTGGGAGGTATAGATGTCTTGCCTAGTTTGTTTACATTTTGCAGGCTGGGGAAGATTTGGTCGAGTGCTTTTAGGCAGCACTAGCAACACAGAAAAATGCCGTCTAGAGCGGTTTTTGAATGAAATTGTAATTTAACCACAACAAAAATTCTTTACCGTACATATTCTTCGTATTAATGCGTGCATTACATAAAACGCTAGAGAAGATCTTCACACCAAATAAAACATCAAAACAAAGAAAATAGTTGAGTAAGTTTATAGAGAAATATTTGCCGTTAAAATTAAAGACGTCATAAGAGAAACCAAAGAAATCTTCGTTGTAGATGCCAAAGTTATATACTTGGAGTTTTCAGCATTTCATTATTCTTATTCAGGATCAAAGAATTTTTATTCAGGATCATATCGCACTCGCGTTTGTTTTTATTCCTTTTATTTCAAGAAAATTTGTTAAAAATATCTCATTACTATACCTTACGTGTCGGGCTCCACGAGTTTTGTCTATAATATGCCGATCGTTTTTGTGGCGTTTCCATGTGTTTAGTCGAATTTGTACACGCCAAAACTTATGATACGATACAGAAAAGCAAGAAGCCAGCTATTGAATAAAAGCAATCTTCAGAATCAATGATGTGCGCTCAGACTAAACTATATTACTAATAACATCCGTCAACACTATAAATTATCAGAACAATGGTCACGTACAAGTACAAATTTTGATCATGAGCCAGATCCAGTCCCCTCATACCAACTGCGTGTTGACTTCACATTGCGACGTAAATAATTATTATTCATAATGCAGTAATTGGTCAGATTGTTATCTGCCATACAGCTTAGCCAGACTTGAAGAATTATTTTCAATTCTAAGCTTCTTTTTCTACGCAATCTAACGATAATTCATGATACAACGTGAATCTTTAGTTCTTTTGGCAAAAAGCAATATTGAAGACGTCATTTATTGGTTTCACTGTCTCCAATATTCTTCCTCTGCGTTATTTCTACCATATTTTCACATCCTCTGTTGATATTCTACCTTATATGCACAACAATAGATTTAAGCCTCTTTTACACCATTAAATTTTATATGACAATTTCAGTATATATTTCAACTTTCCATGCTGTGACGTCTAGCACTCCTCTTCGGGCACTTTGCATTTTAGATGATCGTCGGTGTTTTGTACAAAAGCATTGGATTTATGCTATCAAGAAACGCCTTTCATCCATTCACTTGTGGTCGCCGACATCTGTATTTCATCATCATTTCATAAATTTACGTATTACAACATCAACTAAAATACTGACGTCGGTAAAATAATTGAAAAACACACACACACACAAACACCCACCCCCCGCCCCAATCTGAATGCCCTCGATACGTTTCAGAAGGACCCAAGTTTAGTGCAAATATAAATATTTATAAATTATATATAGTTATGAAATTTTGGAGTTGGAAATGTATGTTATTCAAATTTGTTTATGTTTCACAAGGATATACAAATTCTTCTGATTATGAAATTAATAAATTCTTCAAGAACAACTTGAGTTAAAGTCAATATGTCCATTGCCAACTTGCAGCATGACACTTACAGTTTGTTCAAAGACAAGTATCGTAAAAGTTTAAACATTTACTAATTATTTAAAATAGGAATTTAAACAAACTATGTCAACTGTACCAAGTAGTTACACAAAATAGGTTTATAAAGATTAGATAAGTTGGAAAGCAAACCTAATATACAATAGCATCACACACCTAACTTGTTGTTTTAACAACATTAAAAGATGAAAGTAAAGTTTACTTGATGAAAACAGCAAATTTTTAATGATAAATTAGTCTACTTCTCATACATGTATGACCAGCCCTATAGTGCAACTTTGCATTTCTTGGTAAAGAAACAATAAATTTTATTAATTTAGACTACAGGATCCAGCTTTTTATTAATTGTATTCTATGACATTTCAAGTTTCTTCTACAAAAATATCCGACTGTCCAAATGTTTTGTCATACAAAGCAAAACAAAAAATAACAACAATCAACAACAAAAATGAGAATGGCAAAACAGCCAAAACTATAAAAAATGATCATGTTTCATTGAATTACAAAGGTCTAGGCATTATTTACATGCATTTAATAACCATGCATACAAAATTTTGACTAGCATGTAAACAAATAGATAAGCTTTTCCTTTTTATAAGCAAAGTACCTAACACATCTTTAAATCTTCTTATTACACAACACCTTTCAGACTCAACAGTTTTGAACCTGAAAACAAAAGACATGTACGTCAAGGGAGCATCAATTTCAAGCCCTGTGAGTCTATTTGCTAATGCCAACACAGTACCAAGTGTTCATAAGATACTAATTTTCCTGATTTGTAAGTGTATTTTATATTAAAATAGGGACTTTGACTTTCATTTTGACCTGCAAAAAGTCAAGTCACACATTGTTGCTCTTGACTATTGACAACAGTAGTCTGTACAAAATTAACAAAAAGTTTTTTCTTACTTGAAAATTGCACTTTAATATTTTACATGACATCCAAAACAACATTGATTTCTCATAAAAATTATAGATTCTTAGGAGAGAACTGTTTCCAGTATGACATACACAGTGAAATGCTGAAATCTGCACATTTTCTAGTTTTCCTTTTGAATTCAGACGAATTGAATTGTCACAAATTCCTGAATTGCTCAAACGTAGAATTCAGTAAAAAACTTTGAAGTCTAAACTCTAAAGCATGGCAACAGAAAATGCCGAAGTTTCCTTGGCAGCAGCCTAGGAATAGAGCTCTTCAGACGAGTCAATTTTAGCTCGCTTACATTCCAATTCATTTCATATAGGATTTCATGAGTTCAAATAATTAGATACAAAATGAACAAGATATCTATGATAATTCTGGCATTACGATACGAAATACTTACCCAACCTGAGAATCATTACATAGCCAACATAAAAATAGATAGAATGCCAAACGGATTGCCTAGCTAATTTTTTCTCTTCCGATATATTGTTTGATTTTGGGTCACCTCCAGCACCTGGTACACGATACATCACGATTCGGCGAACAATACTGACATCAACAATTGATAATATAATTTCACTTTGTCCGTTCGTCCAAATTGCTGCTTCGTTGCCACTTCTCTTGTCAGTGCTTCTGCCACCAACTTGGCGCGCGCTACTTCATGTAGTGTATATAAAAAGTTGGAATGGGCATGGGCCTAAACAGGTTTAATTGGGTTTAATACTGCAAGACATGCAAATTTGAAGTAGCGAAGACATTCGCATACAAGTGTTTTTCCTGTCACACCCTATTGTTTCTCCTTGCACGAAAAGACAGGGGGTTGCAATTTCGACACAGGTATAGTTTATATGACCTAGTAGTTAACAAAACATATCATGATATTATAGCTAACGTTCAAATGTGGTCTACGTAAACAGATATAAATCAATGTTAAAATATCATTATTTTCAATCAATAATTAATAAAACAGCAGTGTTTGTCGTTCATTCTTTAGATATTATATATATCATTACAATATTGATTATGGAGCAAGATTATTGCTTTTAATCAAGTAATTATAAAAATATCAAATACTCTTTATCATCAATAAATTTGAATAAGAAGTGACGTGTCCTCAACCGTTGATTTGATCAAGCCGATAAAAAAAAACTCAGAACTGCAGAATGTTGCGATCTTACGATACCTTAAAAACAACCCCAAAATGTCTCGTTCGTGTCGACAAAGCTATCTCAACGGAAAATGGCTTCAAAAAGCGGCCTCCGTCAAGGTTTTTTGTCTTTTGTGGCAATAATCTCTTTTTACCGGGTATAGTAAAATTCATGAGAGATTAGGTTGTTTTTAAGGAACTAATAATTATCAATAATACTCTTTATTGATACAAACGTTCCAAAGATACCTCCAACTGAACCAAATATAGCAATTGCAATGTTTTTTGTATGAACAATCTTGGAGAGATCTGGACATGATATTGAATGAAATACTGCAGGAAAGACTAGAGCTAGAGCCGAACTACTTAGTGCCCCAACCAGAGCAATAAAATTATCCAATTGTGGTATGACTGATGCAAGTACACCTGTAAATGTAAATGAAGAGTAACTACACAATCGTTATTAAAAGTGGTAATAAATTAATGATGTTATAATGGCGAGCATACAAACCTGTAAAAACAACCACGAAAGTTCGAAAAACCAGACTCTTAAAAAACGATTCACCTTTCAAAATATGTTTAAGAAACCACGGTTCAAGAATATCGAATGGAACATAAACTTGAATGAAATAAGTGAGAAATATTCCAGCAGTAATTAGGCCTTTCGTGATAGTGACAAATCTGTGAACGAAACATGATATCAGTGCAGAAAAATATTTGTCGTGCTACAATATTAATGTCACACTATAGTTAATTCACAAAAGCAATTAACCTTTGCATATATGGAGCAAGAAAAAGTACGGTACACTTAAAGAAAAAAAACTTAATTCAACAAAAGCGCATGATAACTACTTACATTCCAGAACCAAGATTGAGCGTTATGCTGCCTTTACATTGTTCTTTACACATCAGGTACCCGAATAAGCCCATCGAAACATATAAAATTGTAACAAATGCCATACAGAGATTTAAAATCCAAGAAAAATTTTCAGGTTTTTTCATTTGATTCTCCAATGGTAAAATCTACACAACATGAAAAAAGAAAGACAATATTTTCAAAGCTTTTATATGTTTGAGTAATAACAAATTTAATTCGATATAGGAGATCAGAGATCGGTTTGATTCCTTTTATGACCTCAAATAATTTTCCCCATAACCGTGCAGGAATTTGCCAGGTAGAAAACAGTTTTGAATATAAATTCTACATATCAACATATAATTGTTCGTTCGGAGAATGTTTTTATGAATAACGTTATGTCTATGTACAATGTGAAATTACTTGAGGATGATGTACGTAGGATTTGGATGGCAAAACACAACAAAAGACACAGTGCACACAAAAAAAGGAAAGAAATACTGAAGCAAATTAAGCGCAACAACACATTTTGATGTTCTTGAAAAATCCTCAACTACTAAACATTCGAATGACATCTTTTTTTACGAGAGATGTCAGATATTTTTTGTTGAAATTCAGTTAGCTTTTTAGGTTAGGTTAAAGCATTATTTCACAACTCAAATGTAGACAATTCTTACCAAACCAATTCCTTCGTAGGCATAAATTGCAACACCAAAAAACAAAGGAAGAGTATCTACACCAGCAAAAGCAGGAAGACCAGATGGATCGCCAATATTTGAGATTAAATGGTAGAAGATAAAAATGACTCCAAGAATCATGCAAAATATAGAAATTAAAGACAACCAAGATATGGCCGTTAAATTCTTGATATAAGAAAACGCCACAAAGTAAGGTACAATAATAACTATCCAGATAGTTATAGATACGTTGAACGTGGAGTAATTTGATACGATCTAAAATGTAAAAAAATAAATAAAGGTTTTCCAATTAAAGTTTTCAAGTCTTTGTTGTGGAACAAGACGGTGTTGCTTGTAATATTCATTTGCACAGCCATATACTAACAACTAAGGACGTCAAAAACGCAAAATTATGACGTAGCAACCTAGTCGAAAAACACAAAATTATGACGTAGCAACCTAGATTTTGCTGGATGTTTTTGAAACACAAAAGTCGCCAAAATTAAAGATATATAAAGTAAACAGTATAAAAATACTTCTCCTTGTATTGAATCAATGTTAACCTCTAACGCGGTGCACGATAAAATCTTACTTGCTCAATATTTCTCCCAACAAATAAAACATAAACACAGCAAAATCCAAGTTGAGTTACACAGAGGAATACGTTGACCACGATGCTGTAAAAAATACACACATAAGCAGACAAAAACATGCAATAAATTGTGGGACCGATGGATTTCATAATGTTATACTGATAAAATATCAATTATATAAATAGTTTTCAGTAAGAATGAGAAAGGATATGCTGTTAATATTCGTGATAAATCATAAGAACTTTACATTTTCCTTGATCAAGTGAACACAGTTCAAGGTCATTTTACTAAATTGTAGGCACAAAACACATTTTTGAATTTTCGAACATTTTACTAAAGTTTGATGTGATAAGCTACTCTCATGTGACAGAACTTGGTTAATCTTATGATTAAATTTGGATTCTATCCCTGGACTGGTGCTTTCTCATATTGACGTCCAGTCCAAAACATTATGGTAATTGAAAGATAAAAACAGGACACTTAACACAATACAAAATGCCGACCTTCCAACCCATCCTTTCCCAGGATAAAACTTCTCCATACATTCAGCAGCAATCTCAGAAAAACTCATAGCTGATTTTCTTTTCCTTTTAAAGAATTATAAACAAAAATCATTTAACATGAGTTTAGGAAGCAAAAATGAAAAATTAAAACACAAACTCAAGTAATCACTCCAATCCACAAGTTCATAAACCAAAAATATTGCAAATAATATTTTCCCTCAAGAAATCTACTTCAATAACTTCAAAATTTCTTATAACAGCATGCTGTATTTTAAAGACATGAATATAACAATTATATAAAACACATTTACAATTGCATTCTCAATCAAAATCATAAAATTTGTAATGTTCAAAATTATAAAAGTATAAAGTGAATATAGTACACATTTCTATGAATGAAAAATCAGATATGTATGTACTTTTTTATATGATTCTGTTATAGTTCTTACAGAAACTTACATTTTACACCAGACATGAGAACTTTCAACAAGAAGATGCATGCAATGAACAGAAATAATTGCCATGACTGCAAGGCAAACTGGACCAACCTACAAATCAATTTGATAATCAATTAGCACAATACATTATTCAAACTTGCAGGAGTGTTGCAAGTAGAATTAAGGCCATTGAAGCACTTTAAAGCCATAAATTTTTGATAAAATAAAAACAATAGGAAAACTGACAGTTTTATTTCATAGTAAGTAAATTGTTTCATTAACTTTTATCAAAGACAGCTCTTTCAGCCAGTTTTATTATGAAGTAGAAAAGTTAAGTTAACTAAAGTTTGATGTTGAAGATATTAAGATTAGCTATGTACAAACCACAATGCCTGCGTGCATGACAGCAGCAGGTAAACCAAGCAGTCCTGTTCCAATATTGGATTTAATCAAATGTGCACAAGTGTCCAGATTTCTATGTAATAAAATAATTTAATACCATTAATTAAATCTTCACTTTAAGCCTAGTTCTCATACATTGTCAAACCATTGCTAACCAATGCTTACAACCAATGGTCGTTATTGATCGCAAGAAACAAAAACTTTTTTGTTTCTTCAAATTACAATGCCAGTGATGAGTGACCATAAAAAAAAATCTATGGCAAAATTTGCAATGGATTTCTATCAACTTACAAGTGTTCACCAACATTGTTAAGGGACTATGGCCAACATTTTACCATGAGAACTAAGCTTAATAAATCAGTTGTGAGGTTTTCTGCAGAATTTAAGGAGTAGATGGGTATTTAGTTATAAAAGTAAATATAATTACACTATAAGATTAATGCTCATTGTATTTTTGATTTATGAAAATGTAAAAATAGTAAAAATTTTCAATTAACACATTTTTCTACATTTGAAGCAAGGTATGATATTTATATAAGGCTTTTGATTTCTCAAAACTTTTGTGCTGTGCAACTTAAACTATTGCAATAAATTACAATTTCATGTCATCCAGCCATTTGAAAACACAATTTTACAGCTAAACAAGTGAAGGCCTCCATATTTTTCAATTCAATAATTAATACTTACGATGTTGCATGTGGACGATCACGATCTTGATCACGACTTTCCACATAAATTTTCGAATTTTTCTCACTGCCTAGATTGGTGTTCAGTTCACTAACTGATTCAGTGCAAAGCAATGTTCTTGATTCTTCAGACATTTCTTCCTGTTGGTCAAAAATTTTCTTTTCGCATTTACAATCAAGCTCAGTTTCATAAAACTACAGAGTGAGCGAGATTCTCCATGAGCATGGATCAGTAGGACAAAGTTCGAATATATATTTATTTATTAAAGTAGTAATTGTCTTCTTACCTTGCGTGTAATACCTTGGGTATGCCGGTATGGTACAAAATCAACAAATAATTGTCAATTTAAAAACAAAGCTCAAAACGCCGAACTTTCATAAAACTTCAGCCTATAAATTTGAACATTGCAAGTTTAATATGCTCGTTGAAACTGAACTTACATCTCTGAAACAAATCATGAGAACTATAAACCACATGGAACAAACCAGTAAAATGTTAAATACCGTATTTTAAAATACCGTGTTACTATTTTTTTACAGTTCACTGGAACAAACAGAGACGCCAAACGATACCACCACCATGTGCCGCACACAAACATTGACAAATTTTGACAATTTGACACCTGCGCACAAGCTTAAAAGGCTCGTTTCCAGGGGGGGGGGGTGTAATTATTATTGGCTTTGGTTTTAACGTAGTTTTAGTTTCGATTTTCAAATTTCGATTTTCAAATTATTTCGCTATTTTCAAATTATTTCAAAAAGGATCAATCGACGATTATGGAGAATACGTCTTTGAGTGCTATATCTTTATACTTCAACTTTTGGAGAGAAAGTAATGAGAAATGTTTGGATGAGAAGGAGTTGTCAAGGACGTATAACAATCTTACAGAGAGGTAGGATATTTGGACTGTAAACGGTGCCGGTTTTTAGTGTACATCTATGTATTTAAGGTGAAAACGTGCTTTTTTCTTCATACAGATACAAACAATTTGACAGCATTTCTGAAGAATATTTTTCACTATCTCTCAAGGAATTGTTTTCTTGTGAAGGTTCTGAGTGCTTGCTTAATGACGAACAAACAAAAAATATAATTCAACGTCTTAAAGCATCAACGGTAATATTATTATGGTGTGTTTTCATGTACCTAACCTCTAATTTTTCACTAAAGGATTTTTCAGATGAACCAAACAAGTGAGAATGTGTTAAAATGAAGAAAATTTAAGTCAAGCTACTTTTGCTTGTCTTTTTATTCTTAGAAAATATGAAGTCTTGGTATAAAAGCTTTTGTTGTGCAAATGTATAAAAAATGCTTTCTTCAGTCATGCAGTGGTATATGACAAGTTTTAATGATAGTAATTATGATTTTTGATGTTGATATATGACTGATTGATGCATTTTCTCTGAGTGGTTTATGCATTTGTTGGGTCTCATGTTTTAAATGGTACTTTGTGAATCATGAACTTTCACTCTTTTATATGTCATTTAGGTAAATGGGAAATTGAGCAAGGATATTTTTGTTGCCATGTTTCAGTACTGGACAAGAAAGGTATGGATCCTACATTGATTAATATATTATATGTGATACTTTATGATTTCACATTGATTTTGATTGCTTTTTGTTTGAAAAATAAATATCTATATATATTAAACCGAATAGCAATTTTATCAATGTTGTAAAAAGCAATATGTGCAATTATTGTTTGTAAATTTTTGTGTTACCATACATTTACTATGAGTCCACTTGTCATTTCAAAATGGCAGAACATATCAATTTGATAATTTTAGTCTAATTTCAAAAATGTGTTGTCTCATAAATAGAAATTTTAAATTTTCCATCTGATTGAAAACAATGTTTCCTTAGATTGTTTTATGAATTGTTATGTTTAGTCTATTTCGACAGTCAATGCTCTGTTAATTGTTGATGTGCAAAATGACTTTATCACTGGCTCACTAAGACTTGATCAATGTCCTGCTAAAGAAAATGCTGAAGAAGTTGTACCTATCATCAACAATTTGATTAAGAATGGACCATTTGATGTGTTGACTTATACTGCTGACTGGCATCCTGAAGATCACTGCTCGTTTTTCTCCAATATTAAAAAGCACTCAGCTAAAGTTCATCCATCAGTTAATATGGCTGATTTAAAATTATTTGATGTTGTTCCTTTTATAAAACCAGCAGAACTGCAACAGGTCATGTGGCCAGATCATTGCTTGCAGAACAGTTGGGGTGCTCAGTTGCACAAGGAATTGAGGGTTGGTGTAGTAATAAATTACTAACTTCCATGTTATCATTGATTGTAGGAAAAGAAGTAACCTACACTTGCAAGCAGCGAGATTGCTTATTTGTCTGACACTTATCGTATTCTTTAAAGCTAGAAGTGTTCATATAATGCCACAAACGAATTGTTAGCCTTTTCTCAGTCACAAGAAAGTACTCAACTTTCTCTTCAGGCTACTCTTTGCATGTAAAAAGTTGCAAAATATACTTGAAATATCGGAAAACATAAAAAAGAACAAATGCTTTCGAGTGTAGAGTATTTTTTATAATTCATTATGTAAATATTTTCTCATAAAATGGTATGTAGTGCCGTTCATTCAGTGACGAATGCGACGTTATTCAAATTATTGCAGGTTTCCCGCTCAGTTATAGCTACCCTATTTTACGCGAATGACTTGAATTCATATTTTTTTTATTTAGAAACCAATAGAAAATGAAGATATTGTTGTATATAAAGGCCAAAATGCTCATCTTGACAGTTATTCTACGTTCTTTGATAATGGAAAATGTAATAAAACAGATCTTCTCCTTCAATTGTTAAAACGAAACGTTACACATGTGTATTTAGTTGGGCTAGCATTTGATGTTTGCGTAGCATATTCAGCCGTTGATTCTGCCCAGATTGGTTTCAACACTGCTGTAATTGAAGACGCTTGTAAAGGAGTCGATTTTAAATCCATGGAAGCAACAAGAAACAAGTTTTCTGAAATGGGCATTAAACTATTGAAGTGTTCAGATTTTACACTTCCGTAACGGTTAAATAACTTTGTTTACGTTACCCACGCACAATAATTTACGGTGGAGATGTAATAGTCGTAATTACTGTTGAAATAATTAAGTAGCTACACATCAAATTGTTAGCAGCAGTATAGTTGTATGCCAGCAAAGTGACTGCCTTTGAGACGGCAGTTACAAATACAAAAATAACGTACAAGAAAGCTGCTTATAATCAATAGGACAATTTAATGACGTATGAAATATAACATCTATCTTTAACTCAACTTGTAAATTTAGAGGAATCATACGATAAAAATAGGGAGAGAAATCATATATCATATGTGTGAAAATTTCAAGATGGTGGAGTGTATGCTGTAAGCATGACTGAAGATTTTAAGATGGAGGCTGGATCAGAGTTGGATTGCACCAAGGATCTCGCTATATCAATGGATAACAACCTTTTGATGATGAAAATGTAGTTTGTGAAGAGAGCAGGAAACAAGTAGACTGGACTTTAAAGAACTCGAGGCATTGTCTAGAAAAGAGGAACGAAAGTTAGTCAAAACAGTTAGATGATTTTGTTTAAAATGAGGTTGAGATTTTGGATACTTAGGATCAACAATTCAAAGCATTGAAAGCAATAGAGGATATGAAAAAAAGCATGTAGCAGCTAGGTATAGATGGGGTGATGAATGTCAGATGTATTGTGTGACAAGATTATTTGAAGGACAAGTGCATGGTTTAGATACAGTGACACTTACGAAAAAGACAGAAAGCACAAAGACAGAAATGAAGATCTAGATATTGAATTCTTTTACGGAGTAAGGAATGAGTACATCAGCGGGTCGTCACATGTTAATCACATGTTACTTGTTTCAAAGATAACGTCAGAGGCCTGGCTTAGATTAAGAAATGTACAAACGTAATGTCCAACGACAAAAATCGTGAGAGTATTCAAAGAAAGATTGCAAGTTTATTCGGGCAAGAAGCCAAGTGTGTAATCAAAGTATTCAATATTTTTCATACTTGAAAATTTCTCAAAAAACTTTCCTGAATTTAATAATAAACAACAAAATAGTAAATACGTTAGATTGTTACGCCCACAAAAAAATTGGGCCTTTCAATTGTGATGGCAATCCGTTGTTCTCAAACAAGTCACAGTATAGTGAACAAACAGTAGGGGTCACTCTAAAGTCTACCAATAGATTGCTCTCTCCCTCTGCATGACAAACAAGATGAAGTGGCTCACCATAGTGATGAACGTAATTAAATACACGGCACTGAGTAGCACCAAAAAGTGGTCCTACTGATTACTGTTTATTACTTACACTGTTAAGAAATATTCTACTTCAACACGACGTGTGTAATATTGAATATTCGGTATGAGGGCAAACTTCATAAAAAATCTGCCAGGGATAAGTCTACCCGTCCCATATTTTATATAAATGCTTTACATATAAATGAAGAAAGAGGAAAACTACAATACATTTCTTATAAATAGAATATTGCATACAGCTTAGCAATAATACGCTTCGTGCAAGTCGGTAATGCGTAAAACTCAATGTAGCGAAGCTTTTGTTAGTAAATGAGATATTAAATTATTTGTTATCAAACGTGCCGTCACATAATTTCTTAGTTCTTACAGTATGTCGTTCGTCAAAGAAAATCGCAGACTAAATGAAGATATCGATGATGTTAATGAGTCACAATTGACTAAATTAGAATCTGAAGGAGGAATGTCATTTTGGAAACTGTTGAGGTTCTTGATAGCAAACAAACAGTTTGTTGCAGTTATCATTTCGGTGTTCCTGGGCTTCTTGATTGGGATTGTTTTACACGATGCTGTTCAAAAATCCGACGAGCCCGAGAAAATGGTTATGTACATCAAGTTTCCCGGTGAACTGTTTATTCGAATGCTAAGAATGATCATAATACCCCTAACAATAAGTACTATCGTGGTAGCTTTGGCAGAGACTGACACCGGCAAAGCAAAAAAGCTGGGAAAGTATACATTCTTGTATTATCTAACAACTACCATTTTCGCCACTGTGCTTGGCATAACACTAATAATGATTATAAAACCTGGGAAAGATCACACAGCAAAAAGAGATGATGAATTCAATGAATCGAGCCCAATTAGCGCTTTGGATTCATTCCTTGATCTACTAAGGTAGGTACACAATAAATTATTGCAAAACTATTCATTTCCCTCGAAAGACTACGTTTGTCTTTAAAAACTTTCAACTATGTCAATTATTTACTCCGTGATATGTTAGTACTAGTTTAACTATTTTAGGGTAGTGATGTGTGCATCCCCAATGTTCAACAGAAACTGTCTTTGTAGTAAGCAATTAGTTGGACGAACAAACACACAACAGCTTTCATTCTTGATTGGTTAAATAAACGATTGATGACTTTCATATACAGCCACATAATTACAGAGTGTAACAACTTTTTTGTTTAACAGGTTTGAAAATAAACAACAGTATAACAACTTCATTATGATAACGGTGTGACCAATCAACTGCTACTTCATTATTTTGGAAGACAGTAATGGAAGAGGTGTGTGATGTTTGGATAATTAAGTGTTCCCTATTTTATTGATGCCCATCTGAATTTGTGACTGATATTTAAGAAAAATTATATGTAGTTTCGTTAATTTTATGGCAGCCTATTTGCAGGCTGAACACACTGTTTCATTGGAAGCGGTCGCCTGTAGCCTGTAAGCACAGGAAATGACATCACTTTTCTGAATACGTATGTAGACATGGCGGAAGTATAGCATGGCATGTCATTTACGTTCAAAGTGTGTAATCCTCTCTCTATTTTGCTGACTATGGTTGAAAAACAAACTCCTAACAAATGTTATTTAAATATATATATGTTGTTACAACAAACCAACACAGCCCATTGCCTAAAAATAGGATTAAATTTGTATGATATTGTCTTGCCAGAATTGCCTGCTATGGCGGAAGAAAACAGTTTGTTCTTATTTGAATTTACTGTGCTCGAATGGTTAATTTAGGATTAAGGAAATTTAAAATTGTGCGTGTAGTAAATATCTCAAAAATAGTTTTTATTTAATATAGCCACCAATTCATCGTTTATCGTTAAAATTTTATTTTGTGGCATTTTGACAAAAAAATATTGTTATTACTCGAATTTATTATCATCACGCAGAAATGACCTTCAGACCTCACTAAAGATGTTTTCATAAAGTTTTTTTCATGAAAATCTTTTATATTTTTATGTTTATGTTCGTATACGTCAAATAAACAATATTTGAGCTCTGTACATGTCAAGGCTACCCCACATGTACACCTGGCGTACCTAGTTTTATACTTGATATAATAAATATCTCCTACTAGTGGTGAGTAGGCAATTGATTTGGCCATATAGTCGCCTAAGAACCCTAAATGCAAAGTTGTTACAAACTCAAATGATTTGATATTTCATGCTTAACTTTGTAGAAATAACAAAACGTCTGTTCTTTGCTCAAACGATGAGAGATTTGATATTTTGCTTTATAGAAATTTGATCCCAAAAAATTTGATGGAAGCAACATTAAAATCAGTAAGTGTATGTTTACGTGCGTGCACTCAGCGATAAAATAATCGAAATTCTTCTGAGTTCAAATTCATTTTAATGTTTTTTGGAAAAGTCAAAAAATCGAATCCTTCCTTTCAAGAATATTTTACGCACTTTTGTTTAATATAAGATAAATGGGGAAAAGAGTCAGAAACTGATGTATTCTTATTTTCGAATCATTATACCCACCACAAGTATATTGAAAAACACAAATAAATAAATGTAAGTTGAATAGTGGATAATTTTTTGTTTTAAATATATTCAACAGAATCACCACCATTTCAAATTAATAGAAATTATAAAACATGTTAAAAACGGTAACAATGTTGGTTCATAAACAACATGATCGATATTTTGGGGGGAGAGAAATGGTAGATACTATTATTCAATATACAGAGAAATATCGTAGAGATACAGAAAAAAAACAATGTTTGAATTAAAAGGTTAGTTTCTCTTTATGTGGCTGTCTACATATCCTGCCGTGTGCTTCTGATCAGATTGACCTTGTTATTTTTGTGTTCATTTGAATTAAATTGTTCGTGGTAATACTGATACACACAAACTTAAAAGCAGCAGTTTTATTTTTGCGATTCTTAATGGTTACAAACAATGCAAAACTTTGCTTTTTGTAGACTTTGTTCATGTTCGTAATGGTGAATTGCAAAAAGATGTATTGGGACACATTTCATCATTGAACATATTCTCCAATAAATTGACTATTGACCGCAAATTCTACTCGAATATAAAACATTATAATTTCCAATAAGACATTATTCTGGCGATGGAACAGTTTAATAATTTAAAATTTATTACAACTAACAGGGTCTGTATTCATTTGTAGACACAAAGTAACTTCGCAGAGAAGAGCATAAATTTTCGGAAGGAAAACATAAGTATCCCTGAATCTGCTGAGGATGCAGCTGATCTTCTTGGAAACAACATTGTTCTACCATGGAGCACAAATCGTAAAATATAACGATTATCAAACATGCGAAATCCTACAAATTTTCTGGTACTATCGACAAAGATGGTACAAACTTCATGGGTCTGATTATCTTTTCAATTCTTCTTGGAGTAATCCTAAGAAAACTAGGAGAAGATGGTCGTCCTTTGTTGGAATTTTGTCGAGCTTGGTTGCATGTTATTATGATGCTTGTATCATGGATAATGTGGTAAGTGTGAATCTTACATGTAAGCTAACTTAACTCGATGTTGTCACATTCTTACATATAGTAATTATTGTTGAAATGCTAAAAAGTTCCTTCAATAAATTTAACCTATAGGATTTCACCTATCGGTATTTTATCTTTGATCGCTGGAAGTTTAACGGAAGTTGAGGATATCGTACAAACATTTAAGAATGTTGGTTTGTTCGTCACCGTAAATTTTGTTGGTTGTTTCATTCAAGCGTTCATAGTTTACCCTTCGCTATACTTTTTTTTTGTGAGAAAGAATCCATTGAAGTATTTAGGTGGTATAGTTCCAGCAATGATCACAGCATTTGGAACATCATCGAGGTAAATAAATACAAATACAGCTCCGTTTAGTAGTGAGAACTCTGACAATCCTCACAATATCTCTTATAACCCCCTACAATGTGTATATTTGTATTAGTGAAAACTTTGACAATCCTCACAATATCTCCTATAACCCCCTATAATTTGTATATTTGTACTCAATATGCAGTGGTGGAAATTTAGTTGTAGAGGTGAAGTAGGGAGCAAAGCTTTGTAAATTTCCAACATATATTTATACGTATGAAGTCATGGTGCGATATTTTCGAATTACTTGCTTCAAAATTGTTTGGTCTTTGACCAAATTCTATGAATTATTTTCATTAGCGGTTTTCAAAGATGGATTCACTGAAAATCGGGGTCGATAGAAGATGTCCTGGGGTCTATATCACAACAACATGCAAATAACAAGAAAATACAGCTTGAATATAATCATATTTAAGTATGAATTTCTCAATGCTACGCAGCATTCGCGACAAAATCGAAAATTTCAAACAAATTACATCTCCACCTCCCTGCACTGAGATTTCCACACACCCTGCACTGAGATTTCCACCACTGGTACTTAATACTTTTAGGACATTTTAATTGCCCGATATGCAGTTACCAAATGCAATATTTATTGCTGGATTTACGTAATCCTTAAAAAAGTTTTAAATTCTTCCAGTCCAAACAGAATGTATAGTTAACAAACTACAAAAAAAACATTGTGTTTCTGCTTTTGCACAGCTCAGCCACACTACCTGTGACCATACGCTGCGTTACAGAAAACAATAAAGTGGATCGAAAAGTTGCTCAATTCTGTTTACCAATTGGTGCAACGTGCAATATGGACGGTAGCGCGTTATACTTTGCTACTGTTGTTATATTTTTGGCAAACTTGGAAAAAATCAATCTGTCGTTTGGAGAAGTCGTTCTAACAGCGTAAGTAACTTTTCCACCTTTCTATAATATAAAATGAAAACTTCTTTTTCAGCAGGTGATATTACTCGTACGGCATGTGCATGTATGAAAGATTGTTGTATTGTCCGGCAAATGACGAGTTAACAACGATTTAAATCTATTCATATATTCTATATAGTTTGATTGCAATGTTTGTATCAGCTGGCGCCTCAGAAATTCCCAGTGCCGGATTATCCTACACCATTTTATGTCTTGAAGCAGTAGGAATTCCTACAAAATATATTGGCCTTATCTTCGCGATTGATTGGTTTATGTGAGTTAATATAGTAGGATTAAATGCAGATAGTTCATGATTCATTGTCTAAAGGTTTTTAAAATATCAGCTTTTTTAATGTGAGCCACCTGGACTATCATATTTTACTTTTAATACATACACAGAGACCGAATTCAAACGGTGAACAATGTTATGGGCGATGCGTATGGCGCTGGAATATTGAATCAAGTTACAGATATGACAGATCAAGAGAATAACGTGGAGAAAAGCAACTCGAAATTGAACGTGATTTTTAACGCACATGCAGCTGAAGAAAAAAATAATCAACATGTCTGATTATGTCCACCTGGATGGTTTACCAAAGCAGAGGAGTAACGTGCATTTTTAGTTTTCTATAATTGTAATTCTTATATTTTCAAGGGTTGTTTTCTAGAATAAATATTAACATTTACTAATTTACGACATTTTTCAAAATTTTACTTCAGTCAAACAGCCAAACAGCATTTCAATTACAATCATGCGCTTTTAACTACGTTTCCATAATTCTTTATTTGTAATATCTATAACCAACTTCGGCTTATGAATTTGAACAATATTCAGGAAGTGAGCAAGAGAACAGTGGCGTAAGAAGGAGGGCACGCCCCCACACTAAATTTAACATAAAAACTGCTTTTTAGGTACGTGCAGTATGAGGTAAGTTACATGAAATCTGGATTATTTGGCAAAATTAGCTTTAATTAATTTTCGAGAACACCCTTTATAAGAGTTGTACCGTGAATTATAACATGTTTTTCACGTTCACAAGCAGCAGTCATATTATATCTCTAGATAACGGTTAAATAACTTTGTTTACGTTACCCATGTACCATAATGTTTTACGGTAGAGATGTAATAG